TGTTCTCAATCATAGAGAAAGCAAGCTGGGTGGTTCCTCCATCATGGGAGTGACAGCCACCTGCCTGGTTCTGCACAAACTTTCACAGGAGCTAATTCAAGTGTGAATGCCCTGCCCTGGAAATTAACAAGGATAAGAATCCATCTGACTTTTTACCATATTAAATGTATTTAGTTACTCTCCAATACAGCTCCTGCTGTCTACTACAAATTATGATATAGCCAAAAGCTATTCATTATGTTTACAGACCATCTCCTTAGTGAGAATTATCCAAGAACTAATTATTATCTGAGAACTCAAGCTTTGATTAAATTTGTAGACTTTTTCCCTCCAGGATGAATTCTCTGAAACTCAATAATGTGAGAAATTCATTTAAAGCCAGAACCACATTTGCCTATTATGATACAACAGAAACAGTACCAGCCTGGAAATCTGAGATCTGGTCCCAGACTTACTGGATTCTAAGCAAGTTAGTTAGAATTTCTGGGCCTCATTTCCCTCATGAGTATTAAAATTCTGATAGTGTTTACAATTTTGTATACAATTAACATGCATTATTTTGTGACTTAAAGTCAAATAAAAACCTTACAAGAGGGCTTCCCTGGTGGTGCAGTGGTTGGGAGTCCGCCTGCCAATGCAGGGGATACGGGTTCGGGCCCTGGTCCGGGAGGATCCCACATGCCGCGGAGCAGCTAGGCCCGTGGGCCACAACTGCTGAGCCTGCGCTCTAGAGTCCGGGAGCCACAATTACTGAGCCCGCGCGACTACAGCCCGTGCTCCGCAGCAGGAGAGGCCACCACAGTGGGAGGCCCGCGCACTGCAATGAAGAGTAGACCCCGCTCACCACAACTAGAGAAAGCCTGTGCACAGCAACAAAGACCCAACATAGCCCAAAATAAATAAATAAATACATAAAATTTATAAAAAAAAAAAAAAAAAAAAAAAACCTTACAAGAAAAAAATCAGAGAATTGGGCTAAATAATTTTCCCATATATATTCTCTCATGTGCAATTCAATTCAAATACAGGTTGTAATGCCTTTATCATTTTCACAGCTTCTCTCTTCTGTGGGTTTTCTTGTGTGTGTGTGGAGGGGGGGTTGGTTTTGTTTGTTTTGTTGCTGCTTTGTTTTGTTTTTGTCCCCCCCCTCCCCCGCCCCTCCCTGCAGGGCTTGCAGAATCTGTTCCCAGATCAGTGGATAGAACCCATGCCCGCAGCAGTTAAAGCACATAGTCCTAACCACTGGACCACCAGGGAATTCCCTCTGTGGGTTTTCTTCTCTGAAATCTTCCTAAGGTGATTGCCTCGCTTTTGCTATGGGAATTTCCCTTTAAGACACTAACACACACTCATTTGCAGATTTCTGAAAATCCTGTTTCCTGGTCATCATTCTTTTTCCTCTGCAGTCCCACACAACCTAACATGCTAAGCACATAGCTGGTGGGTGTTCAATAAATACTTGTTGAACAAACATTTTAGGGTACATTTATGGGAGACAACAAGAGATCCTTTGTGGTGAGGAAATGTGGATTATTTCCATTTTCTTCCTTCTACTTTTCTGTAGTTACCAAATTTCGAACAAAGCAAACCCCAATCCAAAAGCTCCTCTAGTATGGGGGCATCGTTGCCCCTAAGGTTGGTCCACTTCCCTTGCACCGTCCCTATGTCAGAGGGTGCCCAATGAACGTCCCTTCTCTTTCCCTTCTTTGGAATTCCTGATCATCCATGATGGGGAAGAAAATACTAACTCTGAAGGGAGTCAGGTCGTTCCCTCTGGAAAACGAAGATGATACCTGGTCTCGGAAGAAGAAATGCCCGCAGAGCTCCAGGCCCTACACTCCACACCCGTGCCGCTCTCCTCGGGCCCCCGAGTCCCCCAGCCTCAACCTTGGGCAGCTCCAAGCACGCGGGAAAACGAAGCCCAACCTAGCGCCGCGTCACGCCCAGCCTCTTGCGCGTGCACGCCCCCCGGAGACTCAGGAGCGCGCAAGGCCGCACTCTCTCAAGGCTCTGTGAACGCGCTAGCGAAAGCTACCCGCAAGCGAACGTGCGCCCTTTCTCCCCCTGGCGGACAACAGTGGAACAACAGGGCTTGGGGGCGAGGCTTTGGTGGATACGGGGTAACGGGCATCGTGGAGGGTTGAGCTGGAGAACGCCTCTGACATTTTGGGGGACCCGACCTCATTTTGCGACACCTCTCTTCTTTTTCCAGTCTTCATTTCCAGTTCATAACAAGGGAAAAGGGAAGGCACCAACCTTGAGCTCCCAATATGTGCCAGACCCTTTTCCTGTATTATCTCATTAAATCTTCCCATTGATTAGTCCTATTTACAAAGAAGGAAACTGAGGCCCAGAGGGGGTGACTTACCCAGAGTAACACAGCTAACTAGTGATGAGTCTGGAACCCAGGTCTGTGTGCTCCAAAGTTTGACTGCAGCCCTATCCTTCTGGAGATGGGGTCCTGGGCTTTAAGAACGAGACCCTGCTTCTCCTCTCTGGCTGAGAAGTCACTCCGTAAGGACAGCCAGAACTGTTTCCATGGTCATTTTAAAGAAGCTTAGCTCATTAGGTATGAGAACTTTTCAGGCTGGTCCATGTGCCTGGGGCATCAGGCAGGATCCCAGCTGCAGCCTAAGAGCTACGGGAGCTCAGGGCAAGACCTTCCCAGGTTATCGGAACACACAGTCCTTCTCCAGGTTCGGGGGCAGAGGGAGCATAAGAAAGGACCTGGAGGAGTCGAGATGGAAATCCTCATTGATGAGGCTATTGGGGCACTGCATTGTTTAGGGATGAGAGAAGCAGCTTCTACAACATCCATCTGGTGACCAGATCTTTAGGAGAGACATACTATCCAGATGATGCCACAGTCTCCTCTTGCCTTTCAAGAGAGACAGAAGTGGGTGGGAGGAGTGAGAATGTGTATAATGAGGCAGAGGCCGTTGGCCTGAATTTCCAAGGAAACCAAGGGTAAAATTGAGGGAGCTAGAAAGCTGGCAGGTTGTCTGCCATGACTTTTGTCCACGATCCTGGAGGAGGCTTACAAATAGTGGTTCTCATTTCTTCTCAGGGCAGCTTTGGAAGAGACCAGAAACTAGAGGCAGACTCACGTGAGGAGAAGGCAACGTGGTTTCTAGAAGGAAAGATGATCGTCCTAGAGGCATGAGACAGTCTGAGCTTCAGTCAAGTTGACCTGAGCTGGAATCCTAAGTTTGCCTCTTAGGAACTGTATCACATTGGGCAACTCATTAATCTATTCAAACCTCAGTCTTCCCATCTGAAAAATGGAGACAAAAAGAGTCCTTTACAGTTTTAAGGCTGATATGCATAAGGGATGCTAGCATGTGTAGAACAGATAAGAGATTAGTGGGCAATTCTCTGAATAAAATCTAAAATTCATCACATTTTAAAAGACTGAGCTGAGGGCTTCCCTGGTAGCACAGTGGTTAAGAATCCGCCTGCCAATGCAGGGGACATGGGTTCGAGCCCTGGTCCGGGAAGATCCCACATGCTGCGGAGCAACTAATCCATGAGCCACAACTACTGAGCTTGCGCTCTAGAGCTCGCAAGCCAAAACTACTGAGTCTGCATGCCACAATTACTGAAGCCCGCACACCTAGAGCCCGTGCTCTGCAATAAGAGAAGCCACCGCAATGAGAAGCCCCTGCACCGCAACGAAGAGTAGTCCCCGCTCGCCACAACTAGAGAAAGCCCGCACGCAGCAACGAAGACCCAACACAGCCAAAAAAAAAAAAAAAAAAGATTGAGCTGGAAGAGAGAAATGGATAAAAATGGTAGAAAACATTTATACAAGGTAGTCTTGAGGGGAAAATAATCCCACTGTATTTTAAATTAGCGAGCTATCTCTCCCATCTCAAATCCTACAAACTGTCTGTGCCACTCAGCTTGCTCTGACGTGCAGAGAACTTTGCAGTCTATCATTTTCTTGCTCACATTTAGTCTCTTTGACCAGATTATAAACTGCTCAAATAAACACAGTCGACGAACCATGCATTACATTCCAAATCTTGGGTCACTGTCAACGGATCCCTGAAGACCTGGCATTCAAAGTTGCCAAAATAAAGGTAGCCAGCATAAGGGTGCAGAAACCAAGAGTAAACAGTTGTAGCCTTGCCCAGGGCTGCGGTTTGGCTGCAACTGGGATAATGTCTATGGTTTTGGCTGCTTGCACCTCAAGACTGACATCAGGAAGCTGTGGGCAAGCAGCTCAAATTTTCAAATGGGTGGAAGTGTGTTCCTAAGGTTGAAAACATGGGGATTCTGGGGTTTGGCCTGGTGCAGGCAGAACAGTGTTGCAATTTAACCTGCAAAACGTGTACAATACGGCACTGCCATGGACGGGCTCCTCCAAGCTAGAACGTTAAAACAAGCAGGCAGCATCCTCCTTGAAAGCAATCTTAAGACAAAATACTATTTGGAATACTGAATGTGCCCTGATAAAAGGCAGGAAACACGAACGGGATGAAATAATCAGGTGGGTGCAGTAAGCTTGATTAACACGTTCATTGTAAAACACACCCAAGACAGAACAGAACCTGGGGAAGTCGTGGCTGCTTGGGAGAACTTTCAAATAACTAAGTGATTCAAAGACGCAGAAACACCACCCCCCACCGCCCTGTCCCCCAAATGCCTCTATTTCCTGTTAGGAACAGCCACTTGGGCGTTGCCAGGCTGAGACTCCCTCTTCCTCCCCTCTCATCCCTCCCTCACCTCCCTCCAGGACAATGACAGCAGTTTTGGGGGCAGAGATGGAGACACTGGGTAAGCAAAAATGAAAGGGATATAAGGAATGGGTTACACACTCAAAGAGGAGACGTGATGCTGAACATTCCAGAAACCATGATGGAAACATTCTTCTACCTTGACCTGAGTGGTGACCTATGCAAAAATTCACCGAGCCGCACTTGAGATCTGCACACTTTACTTTCATATAATCTAAACCTCCATTGAAAACCAAAACCAAATGACCACCAGCCACAAGCTCCCTCTGTTTTCCGTCCTTTATTGAAAGGTCCCACATCCTCAGGGACCCCAGGCAAACCAGACGCCAGACAGGTCCCCCAAATATAGCAGGAGGCCTGAAAGGGGAGAGGAATGACTTATGATCCCACCACACCTCCCTGGAAACAGAAACCCACCACAGACGGACAGACAGACAGGGCCAGGAGCGGGGAGACCTTACCCCCCTCTAGGTTCTCTCCCCTTTGCCCCCACTTGAAAAGAAAGTCAAACACCGACTACGCGGCACCCCAGCCCCCCACCCACCCTAGCAGCGTTTGTGGGACCCCCCCCCCCACAAGGGGCAGCCCCGAGGCAGCTTCCCGTCACTCTCCTTCACTTTGGTTCGCTCCTGGCAGCTCCGTGCCCTATTCCTTCCTCCCTCAGCCTCCGGCCCAGTTACCCCTACATCTTCTATCACCTACTCGGACCTTCTCTCTGGTCTCTAGGGCCTCCTGCCCCAGGGCTTCTGGGGAAGCAGCATCTCCTCCCAGCGAGGGGCTCCGCCAGGACCTCTCTGGCCAAGATGTGGGACTCACACGGCCGCCCCACTCTCCTTGAGGTCAGGGGCTGAGCGCTGCCGTCTCATCCGCGGGGGCGTAGTGTATGGGGGGTAGCGGGGCCCTGGGGGCCTCTGGGCTGGGTATGGTTGGGGCTGCTGGGGATAATAGTTGTGCTTTTTGGGCTGGAAGTGCTGGGGTTCGGGCTGTGCAGAACCCCCTCCCCGGGACCGGCCCCCTCCGTCCAGGGAATTCCTGCGGGGACGGTGGGACCTGCGGGGACTTGGGGGCCTGCGGGCAGGGGTGGCCAGAGAGGGGGTGAGCTCCTCAGGGGGCTGGGGTGGCATTGGAGACTCCCCGGCCCCCGCCCCCGGCCAGGACTCGCGGTGCTGGGGGTTGCTCTTGAAGGGGAAGCGCAGCTTGCAGTCGTGAGGAGGCACGAAGCGGGCGGGGGGTCTGCGCAGCCCCCCGCCCCGGCCCCCGGAGCCCTGCAGTCCCTGCAGCCGCAGCTGCTCCTGCTTGAGCCAGCGAAGGCGCCCCCGACGGAAGGCGGGGTCCTCCTCCATCAGCCTCGACACCCGCTCCCAGCTCGACAAGGGCGGCGAGGAGGGCCGCGCGGGAGGTGCTCGGTCACTGGGGGCTTCCTGCTCCGCTGCCTCAGACCCTTGGGGCTGAGCCCACGTGGCCTCACCGGCTTCTTCATTCTCATCCTCGTGATCCTGGGAGGGAGAGGGGGTGAGAGAAAAGGGGGCACGTGAGGAGAGTGGAGTCCTGAGGACGTGCAGATTCGGGAGGACAAGCTGGAAGGCCCTGGAGCAGCTAGACGTCCGGGGTCCTGAGAGAGAGAGGCATGGAGATGAGGAAGCTGGAGGGACACTGGTTTAGGAGCCCGGACCCAGAGTCGGGTGGCCGACGCAGTCCAGGTGTGCCACCTCCTAGCTGTGGGTCTGGATCTCCGGCTTGTAGCCTCTGTGCCTCAGTGTCCTCACATGTAAGATGACATCAACAATGACAGTACCTATCACATAGGGCCGTTGTAAGATTACCTGAGAAATTCTACCATGCCTCACCTAGTAGGCACTCAGCAAATATTGCTGAATAAATGATGTGCCCTGGGGATACAGCAGTCAACAAAGAGGGAAGAAAAATACCTGCCATCATTTTAGTGGACGGACACAGTTGATAAATAAATAAGAAAAGTATATGGTATGGTACATAAGCTGTACTTCCATGAAATGTTAAATATAAATATATGTATTTAAGTTATTTAATATATATTATTTATATTATATGTAAGTACCATGTTATATATTTTATATATATTTTATATAAATGCATATATGTGTATATATTTTATACACATATAAAAATATATATTCACATGGAAAAGACCAGAGCAAGGAAAAGGACAGGAGGCCAGGGTGGGGGTAGATGCAGTGAAAGGACAGGAAGAGATTCACAGAGAAGTTACCATTTTAGGGAACACCCAAAGGAACTGTGGGACGAGCTCTATGGCTCTGAGAGGGAAGGGCGTTCTGGGCAGAAGGAACAGCAGGTGCAAAGGCCTTGAAGCAGGAATGCACCCAGCAAGTTCAAGGAACAGCAAGGAAGCCCAAGGGTCTGGAGAGGGGAGAGTGAGGAGAGGCATAAGAGCTGCATTTGGAGCCGTAAGCCTTCAACACCATGACTACTGCTATAACTGGCTGCCTGTCATCCCCCTTTAGAAGGCAAGCGGGAGCGCGGCAGAAATTCTGTCTGTTGTGAGTAACCCCAGTAGCTAGCACGATGCCTGGCACACAGTAAACACTCAACTATTTACTTGTTGAGTGAATACATGGAAAACGGGTAGGTGATAACACTCCCACTCGCAGGGCCACTGTGAAGGTTTACACGGTGACACAGGAGAAGCACTCAGCACAGCGGCTACCAAAGGAAGGGTCACCCAGGAGAGGGGTGGTTCTAAGAGTGGTCACCTATGGGAACACTCATTAAGTGGTAACTTAAGGACTGTACCCTTTATATCAGTGGTTCTCAAACTTCACTGTATTTCAGAACCACCCGGGGTACTTACTATAAATGCAGATGTGTCCCCAAAGATGCTGATTCAGTAGGTCTGGGGCAGAACCCAGGAATCTGCGTTTTCAGTTAGTGCCCTGGTGATTGTGAGGCAGGTGATTCACAAACTATGCTGTGTTAAACTTCGATAAGATTTTTTAAAGGAAGAGGAGGAAGGAGGCTGGACTCTGAGGTGGGAGGTTCAGGTTGCTACAGGGGAGAGATGCAGGCGGGGACAAGCCGGGCCGGGCCCGTCCTACCTGGGTCAGGGGGATGACCCTCTCCATGCGAAGCATGCGGTCCCTCAGGGCCTGCAGCTCGCGGTCCTTGCTGCTGTTCTGCAGCTTCACCTCCTGCAGGATCCCCGTGAGCTTGTCGATGTGAGCCCGGAGGTCCTCCACCTCTGCGCCGCGGGCTCCCTCCTCACTGCCGCCACCTCCACCTCCGCTGCCTTCCTCCTCGCCCACCGTGTCCCAGACATCCCGGGCCACGGCCCTCCAGGCGTCCCCGGGCCCCTCAGGCTTGCCGTAGGTGCGGCACAGCTCCCGCATCTTGAGGGCAGCCAGGGCCTCGATCTCGGCCCGCCCGTGGCGGAAGTCGGCCAGGGCCACCTCGTAGCAGATCTCCTTCACTGCCTGCATCTTCAGGTCGGCCATGGTGGCCCAGCGGGGGTCTTTGCCCTGCAGCCGCCGTCGCTGGGGGATCTGGTACACCCTGCGGGGGGCCCTGCGCTTGCCGCTGCTGGGCAGGCCGCAGCGCTTGACGATAGTCTGGACCGTGGTGGGCGGCAGCTGCTCACGCAAGGACGAGATGAGCCGCCAGCTCTCTTCGCAGGAGCGCTTGTCAGAGTCGTCCCCGCTGTCAGAGTCCGCGTACTGGGGCCACAGAGAGGGAAGACAGACGGGGAGAGGGCTAAGGGCACCCCAGAGCCATGTGTCCCAGCGACATGGAAACACCGTGGTCAGAGCGGCTCGGTGCTGGGTGCACGGCTTAACCTCTGCTCGTCTGCACAGTGGAGGTAATGACGGCACCTCCTCACAGATACGTTTTGAGGATTAATGTGCTCAGAGCGTGTGGCACAGAGAAAGCGAGTATTAGCTGTAGCCATACCAAGTATGGGTTTCGTGTGTATATATCGCTCAGGATGCGGTTAAAGATTTAAAAGTAAGTCCATTCAAAGAACAATCTTTTTTTTTTTTTAATATTTATTTATTGATTTATTTGGTTGGCTGCGCCGGGTCTTAGTTGCGGCATGCGGGATCTAGTTCCCTGACCAGGGATCGAACCCAGGCCCCCTGCATTGGCAGCATGGAGTCTTAACCACTGGACCACCAGCGAAGTCCCCAAAGAACAATCTTAAGTAAATAACAACACGGGCGGTACTTGGATTTGGTAAAAATCATAAAGGTGGCACAGGTTCAGCTAGAGTCCAGGAAGCCCCAGTCACCTGGGAGGAACCCTGCATGGGTTCCTCCCTGGGTCACATTTCTCTCCTGTCTCCTCCTAGATGCCACCTCTACCCCCTAGCCCCGGGCCCACTCCCCACTCTGGCTCAGGCAGGGTGACCAAGCTCAGAGTCAGGCTGAAGCTCTGCCAGGCCGGCTGCTCCAGTGCCCACCAGCCCACCTCCCGCCTCTGCCTGCCCCACCGCACCCCTGGCCAGCCCCTCACCAGCCGCTGCTGCTCCAACAGAAGATCAGCCTCCTCCTTTTCTTTTCGGTACTGGTTCTCCAGATCCTGCAGCCTGGGTTGGGTGAGGAGGGGAGGAAGAGCTCTGAGGTTCTGAAGCCACCTCAATAGGGCGTCTGACAGCAGGAGGGTGCTGGGGGCTGGGCACCCGGGAGGGACGGTCAGCAGGGCCCTGGGGCGCAAGCACCCTCCCCACGCACCTCTTCTCCATCTCCAGCTTGATATCAATGCCTTGCTGCTCCAGCAGTTCCTTCTGGGCAAAGTTCCAGTCGACGGGCTCGAAGGGCGGTCCTGGGGGCGGGGGGACCCCTCGCTCCCGCTCTAGCCGCGCCTGCTCCGGGTGATTGAAGCGGAAAACGTGGTTCTTGCCCATCACAATCCTATTCCCTGGAGATAGGAGGATGGAGAAGTGGACTCACTCGCCCACGGCAGCACACCCCTCCGCATGCCCGAGGTGCACAGGGCCTTGCCCACAAATCCCAGGAGCCCCAACACAATCTCTTCCATCACCCCAAATCCAAGAGCGGCTGGAGCTGAGGCTCCCCTAGCTGGCCCCAGGAACCGCCCTGTCCCTGACAGCCAAAGGAAATCAGGAGCTTGGCATCCTCTTCCTGTTGCCCTGAGGCAGTGAGACAAACCAAAACCTGACTCCCTCTCTCTTCCCTTCCCAGTTCCGTCTTCACATTCCCACGCTGTTTCCTATTTGTTTCTGGGTCCTGCCCAGGAGTCACCCAAGAAGCTCCTCCTTGCACAGCCAGGGCCCAGGACCCTCACTGCCCCCTCCTCTACCTGACTTCAGCACCACAGGCTCAGTCACAAGTTTCCCGTTGACATAGGTCTCGGCTCCTTCACAAGGCTCCAGGGTGACCACCACTGAGGCAGGGAGAGAGGAGAGGGAGCGATCAGACCCTGGGGGTGGGGAGGGGTATGGTCACAGATTCCCACCCTGCATTCCCCCCAAAACACACATACACCCCCAGTCCCACCACCCAGTACCTGTCAGGGGTGCCATGGCCCCTCTGGTGGCAGGCAGCACGGGAAAGGAAGAGCAGAAGGAGGGTTAGAGCCCCAGCTACAATTCCCAGGAGCCTCTGAGGGGGCTCCCTTCTCACCCTCTGCCATCCTCCCCAGCAGCGGCTTAGCAAGCCCAGAATCCTCAGAGGGCGTGGCCTCGCAGGTCCAGCTGGTCGGCAGGCCCTGTCATTTCTGCCTTCCAGATGACCACTCCTTCCTTCCCAAACAACACTGCTACTGGCCAGGTCTGGCTTCCTACAGCAGGCTCCTAGCCCCACTTCTGTCTGATGCATCTTGCACACTGCGACCTAACTAATCTTCTCAAGCCACTGTCAACTATCTTCAGTCAATATCACTATTTTCACGGGAGGAGATGAAGCCAACCCAACCCAAACATCTCTCAAGGTGCTCCTTGTACAAATCACCAAGCCTGCTGCTTGCTGGGACATGAGGATGCCTGAGGCACTTCCCTGTCCTTGAGGACCAGTGCCCCGTTGTCACAGAGGGGCCCCCGTATTCCAAAGACCCAGACTCTATGACTCCTTAGCTGAGGGACATTAAGCAAGTCACCTGATTTCTGTGAGCTATAAAATGGGATAACAAAGTCTTTCTTTACAGAGTGGCTGAAAGGCTCAAATAAAGTGATGTGGGAAAGAGAGTTCTTATTTACCTTACAAGGAACAGAGAAACCAGAATGAATGGTAACGTAAGGCAGAGACAAGCCTACGGACGCTGTAGGAGTACAAAAATAGCAAAGAGTAACTCGGCTTAGGGGCAGAGGACTGGGAATGATTATGGGAAAGTGGTAACTCCTGAGCTGATGCTAAAGGGAAACTTGGATGAAGGGGCAGAAACGATGGAGAAGATGTCAGACACAGCTAAAGCATCACCACGCCAGTGACCAGCAATGCAAGAAGGTGGCAGAGAAGAGGATGAGGTGGCTAGAAGGGTACCAGTCTATCCCCGCCCTTATTTCCCACCACGCCCCCAATTCATCCATCCATTCCACAAATATATTGCACCCCTATGATACGCCAGGCACTATTTTAGGTCCTGGAAATACAGGAGAGATAAAAACCAAAATGCCTGGTCTTACCGAGCTAACTTCCACTTGGTAAGAAAGATGATAAACAAGTAATTGAGCAAGTAATCTAAAGGCAGGGTTGGGCGGGGATGGTTGTTATGGAGGGAAATGGGGCTAGGTGAGAACCCACACGAACCCACAGCGATCTGAACCGAGGCAGCCCAGGACTCACAGCACAGGCCCTAGAGTCTGCCATGCTGCATCCCAATTCAGTTCTGCCATCCTCTAGCTGTGCAGTCTCGGGCAAATTCCCTAACCCCTGGGAACCTCAGCTCCCTCACCTGTGAGCTACATGTGAAAATGCAAAGGCACAAAGTAGATGGTAAGTAATAACTATTTTTCTGTGTTCACACCTCTATCCGTGCTGCCTGCTCTTAGGTGTCTTTGGTCAAGTATTAAATCTTAAAGGCCCAAACGGACTAACCCTTTATACAGCCCCCATCATTTGGGGCACAGAACCATCTGCTGCTTCCACGGTGATGTAACCTATTCGGGCCTGTCACCTCCCCAAACACACCCTGAGCTCCCGAGGGTGGGCTGCCTCCACAGGCCTTGTGTGGTTTTGGTATCACCCCAGTACATGGCTTGAGGGAACCGCAGAACAGGAACTCGGTAATAACTCACTGGGCTGAACGGATTCAATAGCTCGCAGCCCACAGGGCCGGAAGCGTTTGCTGCTGCTAGAGACTTGAACGAGACCAGAACAACTGCATTAATCCACTGACCAGAAAATGGAACTGAGGTCCACCGGGCAGGTCTTCAACCTGAGCTGCAGGCCACACGAGAGCATCTTTTCTTATTTTAAGACACACGCTGACCACGGGCACCCTGTCTCCTGTCCCCCAGAAGCATCAGACCTGAGGCACATAGCACGGGCTCCAGGTGAGGGAGAGCTCAGGTGTGACACGGCCAACCTCCCTGCCCTACTCACTTCCCAGACCTTAACTTCACTTGGGCACAACTGAACCCAAATCAGTCCATTAAAAAAAAAAAAATGACCTGGACTTCCCTGGTGGCGCAGTGGTTAAGACTCCACGCTCCCAATGCAGGGGACCTGGGTTCGATCCCTGGTCCAGGAACTAGATCCCACGTGCCGCAACTAAGAGTTTGCATGCCACAACTAAGGAGCCAGCGAGCCACAACTAAGGAGCCCGTGAGCCACAACTAAGGAGCCGCCTGCTGCAACTAAGCAGCCCACGTGCCACAACTAAGGAGCTGGTGAGCCACAACTAAAGGAACCCTTGAGCCACAACTAAGGAGCCCGCCTGCTGCAACTAAGGAGCCCATGTGCCACAACTAAGAAACCGGCGAGCCACAACTAAGAAGCCTGCCTGCCGCAACTAAGGAGCCCATGTGCCACAACTAAGAAACCAGCAAGCCGCAACTAAGGCACCCGTGAGCCACAACTAAGGAGCCACCTGCTGCAACTAAGGAGCCCACGTGCCGCAACTAAGGAGCCCACCTGCCACAACTAAGACCTAATGCAACCAAATAAATAAACATTAAAAAAAGACCCAACCAGAACAAAACGGTGACCTCAGAATATGTCCTAAGTGGTACTTAACCACGAACATTGTTTTGTTACCTGTCAGACAGACTACTACCTACACCCTGAGGGCTTGTGATTCCTAAAAGCTTTTGCTGCTGTGGCCAAAAACAGCTAAAAACTTCTGAAAGTTTTGGAACCACAGGGAGACATGGGCTGACTAACTGCCTGAAACTTTCGTAGTCATAGCTACATAGATAATCAGGTTTTCAGAGATAAATTCAGATATCCCACTGAAAAACCTACAGGTTTTCATAAAAAACGACTAGGGTGCTATTTGAGGCTAAAAAATCAAGGAAGAGGGCAGGATCTCCTCTTCCCAAAACCTCACCCTCTGAAGCCACAGTCTTCTGTTTCTGCCTTGGGGACCCTCACCACTCCCAGCTCATAACAAGAGTCTGCGCCCTGAGGGCAGGTGCAAATAGCAGGGCCCCCACTGCTGACCAGGAGTTCGAAGCCCCCTCTCAGGGAGAGGACACACCCTGTCACGTGGCGGCTGCACTCCCAGGGCCCGAGCCAGGGCTCGGTATTCAGTGAGGAACCTGTCTCTCTCTGTCTGGTCACTCCAGTCTCGCCCCCTTAGCCATTACCTTCTCCGTCTGGCTGAGGGATGCTCCGGAACAGACAGTGCTGCTCCCGAATGAACTGCCCAGTCAGCTTGATGTCCACATCGACCTGGCCGACCCTGGGGAAGCAATGGCCAACAATTTCTGAGCACGTGCCAGTCATACATACACCAAGCCCCTTCTGAACACAAGTTCAACCAACTCAGTAAGCCAAGTATAATTATTCCCATTTCACAGATGAGGAAGCTGAGGCTCAGAGAGGTAAGTAACTTGCCCAAGGTCATGCAGCCCGGCAGTGGTGAAGCTGGGATGTGAGCCCAGATCTGCCTGGCTCCAAAGCCCACATCCTCACTGTTATACAGCAAAGGGGGAAGGGAACCTGGAGTGGGGTGGGTGCCCTCAGCCTTGGTTCCTGCATCCTTCCCATGATGATCACCAAGGACAGCTGAACAGCCTGTGTCAGGAGAGGAAGGAGCACCCTCACCCCTTTAACTCCAGGAGGTGACCTTGGAGGCGCTGAGCCCCAGGGGTTCATTAGCATTAGCCAGTGAAGTTACCTGTCATATAGGTACTGCCCTCAACAGCATTGGGCCAGGGTTATGTTTCCCTTCTCTCTCCCACCCCAAGGGAGGGTCCCACTAAGCGATGCCCAGGCAGTGGTGCTGGGGGCCAAGAACGCAGCAGTCCAAGCTCCCACCCACTCTCTGCCCCAGTAGATCAGGACCTATCCCTGCCAGTGCTGGTTTGGTTTGGTCCCAGGAGGGGTGTCACCCACTCCAAAGCGGTGGGTGGAGGCAGGCTCAGCAAGTTCTCAGGAAGCCTGGAGCTAAGAGGGCTGCAGAGGAGCTGTCCTGAGACGTGGGGTGTCCCCAAGAGATCATTAGAGAAGGGAGTCGCCAGCGTGGCCCTCCCTCTGCAACCACACCCTAAAAGGAGAGGCTGCCCCACGGGCCCAAGCAAACACTACCTGGTGACACCATCTTTGATGTGGTAGAGCAGACATTCAGACATCAGGGGGTCTTCATTCAGGTTCACCAGGTGTGGAGTCTGAGGGGGAAGGGGCGGCAGTCAGGGGAGAGCCGCCAGGGGTGCGGCCAAGAGGGAGGGAAGGCGCTTGGCAGACATCCCTGCAGGCTCCCCGCTGCGCCCCTCCCCCTCACCCGGAGGGTGAGCTCTCCCACCCCCTGCTCCCACTCACCCCAATGCCTTCGGGGCAGCCTGACCCACCCCCTCCCGGCACACAAGATGCCCCCACCCTTCCGGCCCCTCCCCAGGCCCCATTTCTTCAGAGGCACCTGGACACTCCAGTCTCCCTGACCCGAAACCTTAGAAGCCACCTGCCCTCTCTCTGCTTTCCCTGTATTCCCTCTGGCCCCAGGGCTCATCACTTCTTCCCTCAAAATATATCTTGCCACTTCGAGAGGGGACTGCTCAGACCTCTCTGGCCCATGCAACGCATGCCTGCCTGACTTGAGTCTGCTTTTCATGCCGGTACTCCTGGGCGTCCTCCACGGCAGGACCCCAGCCCACTTATCCAAGCCCCTTTGCGGGGCCCCCTCTCCCCTTCTGTGCTCGCACCCAGTGGGCTCTGAGCACTCACTCCAAAAAGCCGGGCTCATCCCTGCCCATCCCCTCGCCTGCAACAGCCTCCCTCCTGGCCCCACCCCCACCTGTCAAAATCATTCACTTCCGGTCCCTCAAGGTCTGTCTCAAACGCCACTTCTTCCACAAAGCCTTCCCAGGCCTTCCACCCGAACACAAGATCCCCTGCCTCTGTTCCGCAAGGATATACCGTGGCCTTTCTATGTGCAAGACCCCACTGTGGTGCCAGGCAGGACAGAGATGAGTCACACCTAGAGGCTGCTGCCCCGTTGGTCAGGAAATCAGAGCCAACTTGGGGAGATAAGACTTGTCGTGGAAACACCATTGCAGGTAAAAAACACATGCCTCATAATAGACTTCCTGAACTTTTCACGCCCTCACTTAGCTCATTCATTCATTCATTCATTCATCCCACTGTATCCTGGGAGGGGCTCATACACAAAAATGAATAAAATGAAGACCAATGGGAGCTCATGGGGGTCAGGGGAGCTTCATGCAAAAGGCAGTATGGGAGCTGGTCTCTGATGATAAGGAGGACGTGGACATGAACAAGGAAGAGTGTTTCAGGTGAAAGAGGAGTCTGAACAAAGGCACGGAGGCAGGGGAGCACAGGGTGTAGGGGAAGACAGCCAGCAGTCAAGGCCCCATCTTTCTGTGGGAGTCCCCGAACAGGAAGCCCAAGGCTACGTCCACAGTGGATGCGTTGTGTATTTGTGCATCGGCCCCTCCAACGATGACTCTGCAACACTTCCTCTTCTCCTGAGGGATGACCACGCCCCTCCCGACACTGCAGTGTCAGGCCTGCTTGGGAATGGCAAACACGGATGGGTCCTGGAAGCAGAAAGCGATCTATCCCTCGGGAGAGGGGACATGATTTAGGGCAGTGCTTTTCAATCTTTATTCAGCCCTGGAACCCTTTGTTCACAGGAAACCTTACCTAGAAGCCTAACACGTCAAGCAGATAAGCAGAGAGCTGCTCAGGCCGAGGTGGGGGCAGGGGACCCAGAGTCCAGTCCTGCCCCCGCCTCCCCATTCCCTGTGAAGGAAGCTCCGAGCCAGGTTTGAAAATTACTGACTTAGGAAGTCCTTAGGCCTGGTGGCGAGGTCTCAGGAAAGATGGGGCTTTCCCTAAGGCCCTTGGCTCTCTCCAGGACAAACTGGAGCTTCTGCCCCAAGGACCCAATTCTCCACTCGACGTTTCCTAGGTTGGAGTCACCCCCACCAAACCCGTTTCTCCTGTGAGCCTAACAGCTTTCTCTCTGAAGTCCACATGACTTTTAAACTTACGAGAATGTCTCGCCACCTGGAGAAAATGCCGAAGTTACCTCCCCTAAGATGCTTTTTTTTTACCAATCAGATGGGCAAAGATCAAGAAGTTGAAGAGGATGAGGGAACACGGGCTGTCTTGTATGATGCTCTTGGGAGTGTAAGTGGGCATGGTTAAAATCTCTGGAGGCACGCTGGCAAAAGAGATCAAAGTTTTACCTGGCTACTGGTGGCCCCCAAATCTCCACTTCTAGGAATATGTTCTACAGACAGCAGACCATTAGTAAGACTATCTTCTGTAACGTTGTTTATAGTATCAAAGAATGGGAAACGACCTAAATGTCCATCAGTAGGAAGCTGGTTAAAAAAAATTGTCCTACGTCTATACAATAGAATATTCTGACACTGTGGGGGGAAAAAAAAAAAAACGGACAGAACTGCGATACACTGATACGTGAAAAAGTAACATGTCAAGTGTGGAACCAGCACCACGGCAAAGAGGGGCGATGTGTGCATGCGTACGTGGATGATTATAACACACGCCTGTACGTGCAGAGACTACCTCTAGAAGAACACGTCAGGAGCCAGCAACAGGACTCGCCTCTGGGAGGGGAACCCGAGGGTGGGAAGGAAGGAGATTTCCTTTGCACCTCACTGTACAAAGTAAACGTTCCCGGTGGGGCGTGCCACCTTCACAAAAACAACTAAGAACAAAACAGAACAGAAGTCCCTCCTGTTGGTCCCAAGCTCTAGCAGGTGGCACCTTGCACAGTGTGAGCCTCTCCAGGAAAGAAAAACCCATCCATCAGCCTGTCCATCCCTTTCTACCTTTCCCTAGCCCTGCAGCTGTGGCAGAAGCTCCACAGGTACCTGGCACCCCCAGGTGGCTGGCAAGCCATGCCGAGAGCCCCCTGCAGTCCCTCCTCCCAGATGTGCGCCTCTGGGGGATCCCAAAGCCCTGGGTGCCCAGCCCCGGACCTGACCCCTCAGCCCTGCCTGCCACCCTCAATCACCCACTGACAGCTCTCTCGCCCCTGGCCGTGCCTCAGGCCAGGCAAACCCCTCTCCTCTGTCTGGATCCCTGTTCAATGGTCCCTGCTTGCTCAGTCACCCAGACACCATATCCGTATGAAAATCGGAGGGGTCTCCTTCCAGTAACCCACTGCCTGGAAGAGGTGTATCTCACTTAGAGCCTGATCCTATGATGCTTCATACCACAGCCCTGACAGGCGTGGCTGGCTCCATTCCAGGGCTGGGACTGGAAGTTCCTGCTTTGCCCAAACTGGCCTCTGCATCACTGCTTCACCAGTGTGCACCACTACAGCTGTGCTGGCGGTCGGAAGCCAGCGTCCACTCTGACTGGTTGGTCCCCATGCTGTGCTGGTTGCTAAAGGTTTTGAATAACATTCCTGCCTCCAACTGAGCCTGATCACTCCTGCCCTGCTTCTTTCCTTCCTTCCTCTCCACAAAGCCTTACTGAGCGCTTACTACACAGCGGGCACGTGACAGGTGCTGGTGCGCCCCACTCGGCCGACAATACCCCACATTTGCTCGGCCCGATGTTCTAGAGAGAACATCCTCTCCACCACGCCCCCCGTCCATCTTTCAGGCTCCACTTTCCAAACCACCTTCTCCAGGAAACCAGTTTCCATACACCTCCAGGCCGCACTGACGCTTCCATCTTTAAACCTCTCGCTGCGTTTACAAGCAACATCCTACAGGTTAGTGCTTACTCTTCTATTCCTTTTCTAGTCTTGTCTTCCCAAGTTATCCTTTCGAAACGTACTTTTTAGGTTTTTTTGCATTTGTTTGCTTGTTTTTGAATAGCTAACACATACACAAGTTACAAAATCCAAATGATACAGAAGTGTACACGGTGGACAAGTCGCTATCCCAACCAACCTGCAATCTCCCAGGGTTCTCTCCCTTCCCCCTGGGGTAACCACCGTAACCAGTTTCTTATGAATCCAGAGATACGTTCTACGCGTGAACTCATACGCGCACGTGTGTGGGTGTCTATTTATAAATACCTAGATTCTAAGCAGCTCTTGAAATCCCCCTAAGGGCAGGGACCCTGGCATCCTGTGGTCCCTAGATGGAGGCAGAAGACAGGGACGGCCGGACAACAGAGAGGGGAGGAGCAGGAGTGGGGACAGAGGTGATGGAGGGACAATTCAGAGACCTGAGATCAGAGTTAAAACTCATGACCCTGCCACCCCAACCCTCTTCTTTCTGCATCCAGAGTCTCTGAGGCCTCCTCACTCACCTTCTTTGGAGAGAAGACGCCCACGGTTCCCCCATCTTCCCGGACAGCCACCCCCATCTCAGCCAGCAACGCTTCTCTGTAGGCAAAGGAGAGATGGTCTTGTCATCGGTACCCACGAACCCCTCCCCTGCAGGGCCTGACCTTCCCTCCCCACCTCACTCCTTCCAGGGCTCCAGCTGTCGGCCCCACCCTCACACCTCTCCATCCTCAAGGCCTCCGTCTTACGTAGCTTCTCCTCCCAGGTCTCATTCAGCTCAGCTATAATCTTCTCTGTCTCCTGGGGGCACAAGACGGGCAGGGGTCAGGACAGACAGGGACAAGCACCTCCCGGGGGTGATTCCCAGCAGCCCCCAGAGCCCCACCCCTTGCCAGCTCCAGCTTCCCACCTGCAGTCTCTCCATGGCCTCCTCAGGCCCAATCTGGGGCTCGGCACTGGGGGAGAACGATGGCTCCAGTTCCCCGTTGTGTGCTGCGGGGGACGAGGGCGAAGCTGGGGCAGAGGGAGACGATACAGCTGGCAGAGCACCTCCGGGACTCCCCTCATCCACCTTCAGGCCTAGGAGGGAGAAGAAGGTAAAAGAAGGAGGCCAAGGAAAGATGGAACTGATCGGAAACAGAGAAGGTCTCACAGGGGACCAGCTTGGAAGGACTGCAGAAGACCCATGGTCCACCTCCACAAAGTAGGGAGCCCTCCTACTGCAGCCTTGACAAATGGACACCGAGTCTCTGCTTGTTCCCCCCCAGGGATGGAAAGCTGATTACTGAACAAGGTAGCCAGTTCCTTCCACTGCAGGATGACTTGTACCATCAGAAAGTTCTTAGCTGAGAACTTTTCTTAGCTGAAATCTACCCCATGTTACATGTAGCTCTGTTTCTAGTTCTGCCCTCTGGGATGAGAAAGACTACACTGCTTTTTTCTTTTGCAAGACTACCCTTCAAATGTACAGAGGTGAACATCGTGTCTACCTTCTCTTCCCAAGAACCCTTATTCTCCCCACCGTGCCCCTTAGCACCCCAACTCCTCAATGGGATGGACCCCAAGACTGAATGCACAGTCCACACCGGACACAGCCAACACGGATCATAGACTATCTAATACAGATGCCATTTCACAGTAAGGAGGCTGAGCCTTACGTTTCAGAAATTAGTCCACTGTTGACTATTATTAAGCTTACGGTCAATTTAATTCCCAATGTTTCACAAGAACTTCTGTCAAGGCAGGTGCCCAGCAGCCTATTCTTAATGACTTACTGTTCAAACCATAAACGCATGACTTGCCATTTACTCCTGCTCCTGTCGTTTCAGTAGTTCCAGGAGCCTGTCAAGGTCCCTCTGAATCCTGCCTGCCTCTCCCCAGGAGGATCAGTCCCTCCCAGCTCTGTAACACCTAAAGGCGTGACCTGTCCCCTCTCCACATCTGCATCTAAGTCAAGGGGCACTTGCTGGGCTTTCTGGGCAGTGGTCCCTCCCTGGTCCCAGGCCTGGGCAAAGGCAAATGAGGAGGGATGAGCTGGGCCAAGGAGCCTCCCTGAGCTGACCCTCCCGGAGTCCCACCTCCCAGGGCAGAGGCGGAGAGCCCCTGGGCCATCAGCAGTTCGCGCAGCCGGGCCACCTCCTCCTGCAGCTCGCGGATCAGCCGGGCATTAGGGTCCTCGTTGATGATGGCATTGCAGCGAATCTGCTTGGTGCGGTCGGCGTACCTGGATGAGGAGGGAGGAGCGGGACCGGTGAGGCCTAGACACGGGTGACCTTGGTCTGCTGCCCGATTCCCTCTCCCTCCCAGGTTTCATCATAGTGCAGTAAAGCTGAGGGTCAACCCTATCTCATGGGGAGGGTCCTGAGCTACCAGCCGCTGAGCTCCTGGCACTTTTCATGTCCCACCCCACCCCTACTAGAGCCCCACCTGAGGGTGCTAAGAGTCTCCTCGTAATTGATGTCCGCGGGGCTCAGGGCCGCAATCATTGCTGTGCGTGAATTCCCACCTATGAATGAAAGGAGGGGAAAGCTTGAGCTGGGCAGGGTCCTAAGAAAAGTCAGACTGGGTCACAGGGTCAGGGGGGCCTCATTGCTCAGGCAGGGGTCCAATAGGGTCACTGTCCAAGGGTAAAGCTAAGAGTTGTGGAGCTAATCGTGAAATCTGGTGGTCAGAGGAAGTGGGGGTGAGGTCAGGGAGACATCAGACATCTGTGGGACAATCAGCGATCAGTGGGCGGAGGATGAAGTCAAAGGCGGGTGTGAGGTCAGAGAGCAGTCAGGGGGAGCCAAGTCAGTGAGGCCCTTGGCTCGGCAGGGAGCGTGTGGCCTTGATCCCAGCATCAGGACACTTTCAAAGGATGCCCCTGGGGATCAGGGGGAAAGTCAACGGACCACTGGAAGATTTGAGGTTCCAGGGGTGTCAATGGGACTGGTATCAAAAGGGGGTTGGCAGGAATGGCAGCAGGGTCGCCATAGAGAGACAGAGAGGAGAAGCCCCTCACCCAGATTCTCCTTGAGCAGCCAGGTGAGCACAGAGTCCCTGTAAGGGATAAAATCCGACTTCCGCTTCTTTGATTGCTGAGGGACAGAAGGAGGAAGGGGGTTACGGTGGGCCACCCTCTTTGTCCGCTTTCCCAGAGCCCCGTCTCTTCCCACGCCCAGGTCTTACCATATCCGCAAGGGCCGAGATCACCTTCCCTAGAGTGGTCAGGGACTTATTGATGTTGGCGCCTTCCTGGCAAGAGGAACGTGGGGAATGAGGCCTTCTTCTCCCACTCCGATCCCCTTCCCCCGCTCCCCCCACAGCCAGAGTCCCAGTTATGATTTGAGACCACTGCACACAGCCCCCAACACTGCCCTGTCCGACCCTCCCAAGCCCCTCACCTTCAGGCGCATGCCCCGGGCCCCGGAGGAGTCAGCCCGCTCACTGCCAGCAAGGTCCACCAAACTGATCTTACTGACCTGGGTCAGAGGAAAGAGACAGGAGGTGACTGGGTCAGTGCGGGGCAGGCATATCAAGGGAACACCCAGCAAGGGGACTAGGCAGTTGGCAAGGGATGGAGAAAGCCAGGAGTGGGGGACGGAAGGGGGATACATAAGGTAACAGTGAGGGTTTTGTTAGTTGTCCTTTTCTTCATTTATTCAATCACAGATATTCACATGCCCACTGTGTGCCGGGACAAGGCACACAGTGGGCTCCAAGGCCTGCCCCAAGGAGCCTAGCTAGAAGAACAAACATGCAAAAGGAGACTATCCCACTGATCTGATAGGGGAAGCACGGGGGGCTATGGAAGCTCAGAGGAGGCACTCAACCAAGCCTGGACAGGGAGGGAGGACGCAAGGCCCGCTGATCACATCTCTGTCTCTGTTACCAAGTAGGATGGGGTTGCAGCGGGTGGAGGGGGGGGCCTACTTTCTCTGAGTCCAGTCCAGTGAGCTGATCGTGGCAGCGCTGCGTGAAGACAATGGTGAAGACGGCGTGGGAACGGCTGCTGGTCTCATTCATGTTGGTGGCGGCCACAGTCCTGGGGGGGAGGGAATGGTCAGTGGGTCCGGCCCCTCATCTTCCTAACCCCGTCTGCCTTGCCCTCCACCCCATCAGCCTGCCTCACCGCGCTTTATTTCCACAGTCCATGAGGTCAGCAATGTCTGCGTAAGAGGTCACAGCCAATTTAGACAGGTCCTGCACGTAGGGGCCCAGGATGGGGTGCTCTCGGACCCTCAGAGAGCCCCGACTCTTGGGGTTCAAGAGGTCTCGTACCCTCTCACAGTAGATCTCCATGTAGCTCACCTGAGCGGGAGAAGCAAATAAAAAGTAATAAAGGTGGGCTTCCCTGGTGGCGCAGTGGTTAAGAATTCGCCTGCCAATGCAGGGGACACGGGTTCGAGCCCTGGTCCAGGAAGATCCCACATGCCGCAGAGCAACTAAGCCCGTGCGCCACAACTACTGAGCCTGCGCTCTGGAGCCCACGAGCCACAACTACTGAAGCCCGCGTGCCTAGAGCCCGAGCTCCTCAACAAGAGAAGCCACCGCAACGAGAAGCCCGTGCACCGCAACGAAGAATAGCTCCCGCTCGACGCAACTAGAGAAAGCCGCGCGCAGCAACAAAGACCCAATGCAGCCAAAGATAAATAATTAATAAATAAATTTCTTAAAAAAAGTAAAAAAGGTAACAACCACACCCAATGGGAAACTTAACCTGGACTCCACTGGATACAATACAGGTAACCTACACTTAGTGTTTACTATGTGTCACTAAGCATTTTACATGTGCAAGCTCATTGAGCCTTCCAACAACCCTAGAAGGGGACCCCTGATCATTATCATTTCAGATAAAAACGCTCTGGAGCCGAGAGAGAAGTCGTTTGCCCAAAGCCACAGTTACTAACTGGTAAAGCCTAGAGCAGATCCCAGGCTGCCTGACTCCAGAGACTGCACTTGGTCTTAATCGCTCTGCTCACCTCCTCCCTACCCAGGGGACACTGTAGCTCCCCTCCCAGCCCCCTCCCAAGACCTGGGCTTACCTCCACAGAATAGGATAGCTGAGCACTCTGGTTCTTACTAACACGAGAGAAGAGGTCCTCACAGAGCTGGAGGGGGACACAGAGAAGCACAAAGATGCTGCTGTTCATGGCACACCTGTGGCGCCCAGCACCCAGGCCAGGCCAGGTCTCAAGTGACCCTGTTTAACCCTTACCACAGCCCCAAGGGAGGGATGGGATCGTTCCCATTTTACAGATGGGAAAGCAACCTCTGAGAGGTTCACACTTGCCCAGGGTCAGAGGCTAGTATTCAGTGAGCCAAAATGCAAGCCCGGAGCCTGTATGCAAGGTCACTATGCTGCAGTCAGAGAGATTATGGTCAACTCTCAGTTATCCACAACTGGCTTTTCCTACAGTAAACACCTTGACTACGGTACACAAGCCTACATGGGAACTACACTCACAAGTAATTACGAGACAAGGTAAGACAGCAGCAAGTGGTAGAAACAAAGTTCAAACCCTGGGCGCTCTGCCACCAAAGGTGTGGCTGTTCTCATTGAGCTTTCTTGGCCCTGATGTCCAGGTTGGAGCCATCCTCATCCCCCATCACCTTCCCTATTACTAACAACCAGAGAGCCAGGTCTCTGCTCCACAACGCTTAGAACCCAGCCTACTCCCCTAGGGGCAGCTGAAGAGGCTTCAGCCCTGGCCGCCCTGCCAGGCCCCGAGTGTACCTGGGGCACGATGCCCTGCTGCCCTGGCTCCTGCCGCCCCATCATGGTGTAGGATTTCCCAGCCCCCGTCTGCCCATAGGCAAAGATGCACACGTTGTAGCCTTCAAAGGCATGGAGCAGCATCTCTTCTCCAATATCCCGATACACCTGTTGCTGAGATGCAAACTGGGGGTCCTCGGCCTAGGTAAAAGGGGGGCAAGAAAGACAGCAGGAACCCTAGATGACTTTGTCCTTGGTATCTAGGTGCCCAAAGGTCTTGTGTGCCCCCACCTCGATCACGGTCCTAATCATCCCTGAGGATCCTATCTAGTCTCCTGCCAGCCCTAAATTATCCCAGGGATTCTGCCTCCCCCTTCCTGGTCCTAGTCACAAGTTCAGGGTCCTACCCACCCCCACCCAAGGGTCCTGGTCCTCCCAACCAATTCCCTGGAGGTCCTATTTCCCAGCAATGCTCCCCCCCCAGGACCTGAATCCCCCGTCCCTCTTTGCTTAGCTCTTCCCCCAACCTAACAACCTCACCGAAGTGTGTGACCAGTAGGAGTAATCGAAAGTGAAGCTTTTGGGGGCATCCTTGCTCTGTCTGGGATTGATGATGGCTGAGAAAGCAAAGGAATGAAGGCCAAGGTCAGGTACTCCCGACCGCTGCCCACTCCCCACAAGCCCTCAGAAGCCGGGCATCCCACTCCCCTCCTCTATCCTAGTTCATCTCTCCCCTTTAATACTCCCCACCCCCTCCAGCCACCAAAGCTAATTTTGGCTTCCCAGGACCCGCCCCCCTCCCGGCTGCCTCCCTGGATTGGGCAATGGAGGGCTCCAGGCCAACATTCCCCCTCCCAGGGACTGGGAGCATGGAAAGGCCAGCCTGTCCCAGCCTCCTTCCTTACAATTAGCACCTGCTCCGTGCCCAGCACAGCCCTCCTCCTGGTTCGGCCCGCCAGGACTGGCCCGTACAGTGGGCCCGGGCTGCCCTGCCTGTGCCCAGACGGGCCCCTGGGACTCACTCACAGGTGGTGCTGCCCTGCATGCTGACCACACACTTGGCATCCTGGCTGGTCTCACGGGCGTTGAAGGGCCGAACCCTCACTGCCACTTTCACCGAGGCGCCAGCCATGGCTCCAGATACTCCCACCCTCCTCAGCTGGAGGACAGAGATAGAAAAGAAGGTCAGAGCTGTTGGGAGGCAATGTCTGGGGTACCCAGACATTGCCTCCCAACTTCTCCGAGGAACCAGTCTCTCCACACCCCCTTCTCCGGTGACCCAGCCCCTCAAGGACCCAGTTTCTGTTTCCTTGGCCTTCCTCCCCAATGGCAGTCTCCTCAGGGACTCCCGGAGGTGTTCCTGCCTCTCTCCCCAGCCTTTTCCCAGCAGGCAGGGACCTGGGATGTCACCCCAGAGTTACCTGGTGTCCTGGCCCCAGACCAGGGGGGCTGTATCAGTTCTGGCTGCCACCGGCCCTCGTAGGAGGAGCCCCATCCTACACTGGGGGCCTGGCCACGCCAGCTGGGGCTGTAGGGGAAACCCTGGTTGTGGGGGAAGAGTGGTTAGGAGGCACCCGTGGCTCCAGAGGTGTGTCTGGGGTTCCAGGGTTGGAGGACAAGGGGTGGGGGGTAATGTTAGGAAAGGTGAGGATGTGTGTTCCTCTGGAGTGGTCGAACGCAATGTGAATCCAAGGGCAGGGACGGTGATATTTTTATTCCTCGTCACTCACAAGTGCACTGAACGTTCAGAGAGAGAAGAGAGAAAGAGGCTGGACAGAGAGCAATTCAGAGAGAGGGACACATGGGCAGAGACACTGAGGGTGGTGGGAAGCGGGGAGAGGAGAGGCAGAAAGTCCCCAAGACCAAGAAAATGAGAGAGACAAGAAGACTGAGGTCATGCTACGAAGAAACGTAAGGGGACACACAGAGGACAGCAAACACAGAAATGTTAAACAGGTAGGGGAAAAGCACAAATTGGAAGCCCAGAAGAGAAACAAGATGCAAGAAAATCCCAAACATAAGACCTGCCCTAAAATTCCCCCACAGGGTCAGCCAGGGAGAAGTAGAAACCAGCTCCCACCTAGGGTCCATAACCTCCACACAGAGGGAGAGACTGCTGATGGGCAAAATCCAATGGCTGGAGGTACAGCCCAGAACTGGGATCCACAGGGCCTGCCTATAAGCCCCAAATCCCTTGACCAGCCCCCAGCACTTCCTCCTTAGGATCCAGGACAATGGGCAGGAGAGGGTGGGGTCATCCTGTAACCATCCTACCAACCACCAGGGTCCTCTGTTGGAGAATCCAGAATACCTGTGTTTATGGGAAGGGAGGCTAGCAGTAGGGTCCCCCTGAAGAGGGAGAGAAGGGAAAGGAAGCAGGCAGGTCCCAGCTCCAGCCTGGGGCTAGTGCTATGGCATCCACTGCCCTGGGGAAAGTGCCAGTCTGGAGCCCAGGAATGTGGGTGACCCGGTGCCCACACCCTGGGAGGAGAGGCTGAGCAGCCCACACCCACGGACAACAGGGTGGGAGGGTTGTGAAGAGAGATCAGAGGTGTTGAGCCTCCTTCTGTGGCCCCAAAGGGCCTCAAACCCCTGTCCTGCTGGGCCTCACCACACCAGCCTTTCTGGCCAGGGCATGGGAAGGGTGAGAGGGCTGGTCTGTCCCAGGACAGGAAGGGAGTAGCTGAAACCACAGAGGCTGTCTCAGGAAGAACAGCCCTGACCCCCAGACCCTGATCAGGGGAGGGAAAGGACACTGATGGAGACACGCAATTGTAACGCCGTTATGGCTAACGGGGCAGGGAATGAGATGGCACTGCTGGTGGATGGCGGGGTAATGGGCCAGGAGAGAGGTACAGGGGTCGGCTGGTGCAGCGTAATGGGTCAGTGGGGTACAGACAGTAGCCGCGGCTGGGGTGAGGCCGAGCGACCCGAAAGGGGGCCTAGGGCCACCTGCACCTTGCTCACCCAGAAGTTTTCACACAGGCCCCCGTCCCGGCCTTTCTGGGCGGCCATGCGGACAGTGTCCTCCGGTCCAGCCAACCGACGGCCGCCCCGGGCCTGGCACCTCTCTGCGCCTCCGCGGGACAAATAGCACATGATCCCGGCTCCCGCGGCCAGCCGGCCCCCGCCGGGTGGTGCAAACCGGGACCCCGGCTCCCCGCCCCCCAGCCCGGCACATTCCTCCGCGGGCGTCCCCTCCCTCACCCCCCCTCTCCCACAGCTCTCACCTCGTCGCGGCGGGGCTCCCGGAGCGGCTGGGCAGAGTGCAAAGGGACAAACTTCCCGTGAAGCGTGAGGCGGGAGCGGGGGCAATCCGGGGCCGCTTCGGGGCTGCCCCCGCCCCTCGCCGGGTCCCCGGGCGGCGGGCGGCGGACTCGCGCCCCGGGGGCGGCAGCAGTAGCGGCGCCAGCGGCCGGCGCCCGCCCGGGCAGCACGAGCTGGGGCGGGAGCGAGGGGCGGGGGACCGGCGGGCGCGCGCGCGCGGTTGGGCGGGCGGGCGCGCGCCGTCCCGAGAAGGGCTAGGCAGCGACCCGGACAGCTGTTAAAGGGGCAATGTCCCCAGAACTGCGGGGCCCACCGGGCGGAGACGGGGTAACCGAGCTGCGGACACGGGAGGGCGAGCAGGACGCAGGCACTCGGGAGGGTGACCAGCGCCCAGAAAGCCGGGAAGAGTTGAGGCCAACCCCGGTAGGAGACCCAGGACCCGGACCCGCGCACGTCGCCGCCGTCGGAGGCGCGCTTAGGGGGCGGACCCGCGCGCAGGGCCCCGCCCAGGAGGTGGCTCGGCGCAGGCCCCGCCCCAGGCGCGCGGTGCCGGCCGGCTCCGCCCTCGGCTCCCGACGCTGCCTTGCTCCTCCTCAGGGCCCGGCGTAGAGTTCTAGAACTGGCCGCGCAGCTGCCTCAGGTACCGTGGCCAAATGTAGTCGGCGGCGGCACGGCCACCCGGGCGCTGGGTCCGTGCCTGGCTCTCACGTTCGACAGACCCCGCAGGCCCGGGTCGTCCCCTCAGACTTGGGTGCCTTCTCAGGCCCAGGCCACCCCTGCCTACCCAGCCTGGCCCCCCATGGTCCTCAGGCAGTCCTTCAGGCGCGGGCGCACCACCTGGGGGCCCATCGACTCCTCAGGCCCCCAATTGTGCCTTCGGGCTTAGCTGTTCCCCACGCCCCAGTCTACCTACCAAGGGTCCCCTGAGCCCGCTAAGGCCTGGCCTTCCCTCCAGGCAGGGACCCACCCCCCCCAGACCCCCAGGCTCTGGCCAACTCCTCAGACCAGCCGGACCCCTCAGGTCCTCAGCTGCCTCGTCAGGCTCAGGTTGCCCTCACAGCCTTGGCTGCCCCCGGGCCAACTGTCCAGTCCTCTGTCTAGCTTCCTTAGGCCCATTCTCCTCATAGATCTGGGTCACCCACCTAGACCCAATGACCTGAGGTCTGAATGCCCCTCAGCTTCCACCTGCCCTCTAGTCCAGCTTCCCCTGCTCTGGGCCAAGACATCCAATGTAGACCCCATCTGCCCTTTCAGCCAGATTTTAACTACGGCATTTGCCACCTCAGCTCTAAATACTCCTCTCTCCATTCTTCACTTCGCCTAACTCCTTTCTCAGCCCATCCTTAGTTGCCTTTGGATAAATACTTATTCACCTGCAACAGTTTCCAATTTTCTGACATTTATGCTGCCTACAGTCACTCTTCTAACTCATCTAACATTCTTATCTGCCTTTTCTGCCAACCCCCCACTGGCTGTCAGGTCACCTTTGGCTGTCCCGAATTCTGGCTCTGTATAACTGACCTCTCTGCTCACCTTCTTCACCTGTAGACATTCCCAACTGTCTCCTCCTTCCTTGTCACCAACCGACCACTCTTACCTTTTTTTTTTTTGCGGTACGCGGGCCTCTCACTGTCGTGGCCTCTCCCGTTGCGGAGCACAGGCTCCGGACGCGCAGGCCCAGCGGCCATGGCCCACGGGCCCAGCCGCTCCGCGGTACGTGAGATCTTCCCGGACCGGGGCACGAACCCGCGTCCCCTGCATCGGCAGGCGGACTCTCAACCACTGCGCCACCAGGGAAGCCCCACACTTACCTTTTATTAACCCCTCATACCTGGTTTATTTACCAACCCTGAATTCTCTGACCCCAGCCACCAGTTCTGTACCAACTATCCCCAAATGCCTCTGCCCTATCTAGTCCACCAGTCACCCTTTTTCGTTTCATTATCCCATGTTGCCAGTTAATTCACTCCACTGCCATTTGTAAATTTCACTTACTCTGTATGTTTGGCTTCACAACATTTATTTTTCTCTTTTCTCTTTTACCACATCCACATTTCCTGTGTCTGCCATCTTGAAATTGTATGTTCAGCTAATAGAAATGTTCGGTACTTGAAATACCTTTTCAGCTCTCTTTCTTCTTTTCTGGCCCCATACATCTTCTTTCCAATCTCTAGACCTGCTACAGGTTCATTCCTACAGCCATTACATGAGTGAATGATTCATTTTCCATTATCCCCCCAGCACCAATGAGGAGACTCAGTCCAGCCACCCAGCCCAGTCCAGTCATGCAAGCGCAGGAGGATGGAGAAAACCTTATCCCGTTTGTCAAGTGAGTCCTCTCCACCCAGTGGGGAGGAGGGAAGATTGCATGCCTGGGTTCTTCCCTAAGAGGAGTAGGAAATAAGGAACAAAAAGCTCAGTGCCTGGTCTCAGGGGATTGGTGATTTATTAATTTATTCGGCAAATTGCTTTTGAACACTACAATGTTCTAGGCACTGTATATTAGGCATTGAGAATTCAGCAATTAGAACATAGGGGTCCTGCTCATAGAGCTTACCTTCTAGGGGGAGGAGATAGAAAGTGCATACAAATAAATATAATTTCAAATAGTAATAAGTACACGAGGAAAATAAAATAGACGTACAACATAATGTAAAACAGACTGTCTTGGAGACACAAGTTTATATAGGGTGATTGTGGAAGAGGAGGAGGAAGTGAGTTTGAATTGAGATCTGAAAAATGAGAAGGAGCCAGTCTGATAAGAACCAGGAAGCAAAAGTAGGAATAGTAGGTTTAAAAAAAAAGCCCAAGAAAGAAATTAGCTTGCTGTCTTCTAGGACCAGGAAGCAGGTTAGCGTAACTGAAACTTAGTGATTAAGGGAAAAGTGGAGTAAAGTCAGACAGGCAGAGGCCAGATCATATAGGATCTATCGGATCTTATAGGCCATTGAAAAGAGTTTGAATTTTATTCTAAGGACAGTAGAAAGGTTCTAAGTAAGGAAATGACATAAGCAGACCTTTTATTTTCTTCAACTTTTTTATTATGGAAAATTTCAAACAACTGCAGAAGTAGAGAAAATAGTAATCATGAACCTGGAGTATCCTTTTTAGTCAGGTACAGTAATTATCATTACATAGATAATCTTTTTATTGATACACCCATTCAGCCTCTTGCTACTCAGACTATATTGAAGCAAATCTTAAACCATATATCATTTCACATAAGCATTTTTAAAAGATTATTCTTGGGACTTTCCTGGTGCTGCAGTGGGTAAGACTCCATGCTCCCAATGCAGGGGGCCCGGTTTCGATCCCTGGTGGGGGAACTAGATGCTGCATGCATGCCGCAACTAAAGATCCCACATGCTGCAACTAAGATCTTGTGCAGCCAATATAAATAAATTTAAAAGAAAAGATTATTCTGTGCAGAATAGATTATTGAGGGATTCAGATGGAAGCAGGGAATGGAGGAGGAGGCTATCTCTGTAGTCCAGAGAGGGGAAGATAAGCTGGAATATGATGGTGGGAATGGAAATAGTGAGGAGTAGTCAAATTTGAGTGTATTTTATGGGGGAACTCCTGGGCAGTCCAGTGGTTAGGACTCCGTGCTTTCACTGCCAAGGGCCTGGGTTTGATCCCTGGTTGGGGAACTGAGATCCCACAAGCTGTGTGGAGCAGCCAAAAGAAAAAATGATTTTTTTCTTTTTTTTTTTAGTGTATTTTAGATGTAGAACTCACAGAACTTGCTGATAGATTGGTTATCGTAGGTGAGGGAAGTAAGGCATACCAGATTTTTGGCTCTAGCAACTGGGCATTTGGGGTGCTTTTCAGCGAGATGGGGAAGGCTAGGGAGGAGATGTTGAGTGGACAGTTGAACCTGCAAGTCTGGAGTCTAGGGGAGGAGCCAGAGCAAGAAATGCAGATTTGGGAGTCGTCAGCACACTGGTGGTTTAAAATCATGGCCTGAAACAACAAGGTCCTACTGTGTAGCACAGAGAACTATATTCAATATCCTGTGATACACCATGATGGAAAAGAATATTTAAAAAAGAGAATGTGTATAACTGAGTCACTTTGCTGTGCAGCAGAGATTGGCACAGCATTGTAAATCAATTATACTTCAATTAAAAAAGATGAAAATAGGGCTTCCCTGGTGGCGCAGTGGTTGAGAGTCCGCCTGCCGATGCAGGGGACGCGGGTTCATGCCCCTGTCCGGGAAGATCCCACATGCCGCGGCGCGGCTGGGCCCGTGAGCCATGGCTGCTGAGCCTGCGCGTCCAGAGCCTGTGCTCCGCAACGGGAGAGGCCACAACAGAGAGAGGCCCGCGTACCGAAAAAAAAAAAAAAGATAATAAATAAAGTCATGGCCTGGGTGAGATCACCTAAGGAGGAATGGAGATAAAGAAGATAAAGTGCCGAGGACGAAGCCCTAGGACACTCTTCTAGAGAGCAGGAGAGCAGACATCAGTCAGTCTGGGGGCTTTAGGAGTGATGAGAACTGTTCTCAAACAGCTTTGCACACCCCTCCCTACCTAAAGGATATTAGTATTTCTGAGATGGGGAGATAAAGCAGGGGTGAACAGAGGCCCTGCTCTCCTGGATACTTGCATTGACTAAAAGGAACCTGTCGCATCACTTGAGTAGTCGGGGCCTTCGTCTTTGACAGCCCTGCTTGCTCAATATGATGTTCCCTGGTTGTGAGGTGTACTTATTTGAGATTCAGTGAGATCTGAAGCTCAAACAGTTGCTAATCTCCATGCTCACTCCAGCTCCAATCTCCTTTCAAATCAAAGGCCTCACCACCTTCCTCAGCTAAAATGGATAAGGGAGGACAAGGCCTGAGGGAGCCTGGGCAGCTGTATGGTCCCGTAGTAAGATAAGACTCCTAAATTCCTGGAGTGAGTAGATGCTGTAAGGGAAGAGCCAGACCTGAGCCTACCTTGTCCTCACCTCAGGTGTTCCAGGGTGGTCAGCCGATCTCCACCACCCAGCTTGCCTTCCCAGAGCCTCAGACTGACGCCCCAGCGCTATGGAGACACCTTCTGGGAGAACCTTAGTCAAAGGCCCAGGTGGGTAGAAATGGAGAAAATGGGGATTAACTGGAGGTAGGGAGGGGAAGCTCTACAATTTTAAACTACCATAAAGCCTTATGGTAGCAATAAGCTTTAGTCTGGGGATAATTGCCCCACCAGCTGATGGACATTTTAGCTCCTAATGCCAAGTAGGTGGTTGGGAGAGGTTGTTAGAGAAACAGTATGGATGGGGGTGTTCTCTCTGTACTTAGCCCCCTTTTTGTGCTTCACAGCCCCACCTGGATGGAGGAACAGTACATCCCACCCCTGCTGGTATGACAAACTTTCTGCCCTTTGACACCTCTCGGTTAAAGTTGCACCCACTGCTATCCTAGCCCCAGCTCTCCTTATTACCCCTTCCCTCTGGTGTCCCCCAGCCAGTGCACTGACCAGGCCCTCCTTCCTATGAATCAGTCATCAGGTTTTCCAGATCACAGCTATGTTTTTGTGATCTGGGCTTCCCAAGACCCCTGACTCCCTATTTCAGTCCCAGCTCCCCTGAGAGACTCAGTTCTGCCTTCTAGCTCCTTTTCCCCATTCTCTGGCACAGAGAGCCACTGGTTGCTCCCTGCCTGGCCTGTACCCCCCTGAGGGGCTCCCACCCCCTGAGGTGCTCTGCAGAAGAAAGAGAAGGAGGCCATATTTGGCGGGAATGCAGCAAGGATCTGGGGGCATCCCAGCCCGGGTAAGGGCTGTCACTTATCACCTGGAGGATCTAAGGAGGCGACACAGAATCATCAATGAGTAAGGAGAGACATTTGGGCTCTGGGAGCCAAACAGGGTATGGGGACAGGACGGTTTGAACTAAAGAAGAGGTGGAAAGCTTTGAAGGAATTGGAGGTTGTTTGGGAATGTGCCACGGTCTTGGTGAGATTGAAGCAAAATTTCTATAATATGGGAAGGAGGAGGGAACTAAGGGATGGGGGATGAGCCACATGAGCCGAAAGGAGTGGAAACCAGGTCACTGAAGACAGGAAAGCACTCCATACAACTGGACGATAGTGCAGAGCTAGAGGTCACCTCTTGAGCCCCTGAACTGAAAATACTTCAGTCTGAGGGGAGCAGAAAGTTGGGAGTGGAGAGTTGGAAGTCAGATGACAACACTCCTGGGTCCCAGCAGGAAGTATTTCAGGGCAGGAAGGTGAAGAATGGAGAGACAGGAAGCCTGGCCTCCAGGCACCTCTTTCCTAAGTCTGAAGTCTCCACAGACTGAGGAAGGCCCAGTGGGGCAGCTCTAGGGCTCCGTCTGAGCCCCTGGTGCTTGACGACGACGGCTGTGGACTCCCCAACTCCACCGAACACCCTGGTCTGGAAGAGGAGAGGGCAAACTCTCTACGGGAAGAGGAGCACTTCCTCGCTCCTGGCAGGGCCCAGGTATGGTTGAACAGGAACTTGGTGGGGCGGTGGAGGGTGATGCGGATGCCTGGTCTTGCATGGAGAGACAGCGGGAGCCAAGAGGCACGTTGGATAGCTGGATTTGAGAGGAACAAGAATAAAGTAGGCGAGAGCCAGAGACTTGGGAGTGCCTGGGTTTGGGGACTAGGAAATCTGGAGAGAGACCTATTTTCTGATTCTTCCTTTTTTTCCCTTCAATTTCTCATCCTTACAGCTGCTTTGGTCTCCCTGGAGTCCCCTGGGCCAGGAGGGGTCTTGTCTCTCCGGACGGCCGAGCTCTCTGGGCTCCTTCAGCACGGCCACAGCCAGTAGGGACCCCCTTTACAATCCCTGGGGGGTGGAGTGGCAGTCTGAGGAGTAAGGAGAAACCGCCCACGCCCAAGATGCTAGCGTGCTCCAGGACCCACGACTAGTTCTGGGCGCTGGAATCTCCAGCATTTCTGACATCAAGGCATTCCCCCTTTCCCTGACCTTTCTCACTTTCCTCTCCCATCCTCTGAACTAGGCACGAACGGGGCTCCCTTGGCCTCCCATCTCTACCCGCCCGTCTCACAGGAGCTCCCCAAGGCCTGTCGTCCCGCAGGCCGGCTCCCTGCCACTGTGTTCTCTTTTTGTTCTGTTATTAAAAAGCAAGCATGTTGAGCCCGGAGTTGTCTTTCTCTCCGCGAAGTAGTGATGGAGAGGCTCGTGGGGCGGGAGGGCTCCTTTCACCTTCGTGAGGACCCCGCTAAAATGAAGTCGGGCTGTGTCCCCCAAATTCAAGGAGCTGTGCCCGAAAAAAGTCCTGCCGGCTCCAGAGTCCCCCGCCCAGCGCTGTCGGCCGCCCGCGCCCCACTCCCCCGGCCGAGGTCACGTCGATCGGCCCAGCTTCCGCCTCCGGGACCCCGCATCCTGCCCCTCAGCGCTGCTGCCCCTTCCGGGACTTCCCGGCAGTCCGTCCCTCCGCCTGGCTCGGGGCCCTGGAAGACGAGTCCCTCCAGCCAGCGCCCCACCCAGAGCCCCACGTGTGCTGACCCCAGGTTCTCGTCCCGACCCCCATCCCCTTAATTGGGAGGCCCCGCCCCGTGCGCAGTGACGTCGGACGCCGCTGTCAGCCGGCGCTGGGGGGGGTCGGTGTGGGGTAGAATGGCCGCTGCCGCCGTCACCCGCGGGACCCCGGGAGGTAAGAGCCGGGGCCTCTCGCCCGCCTCTCCGCCCCGCGCCAGGGGGCGCAGCTCCACCGGCCCGGACGTTGCGCGCCGCGCCGGGGACCACCGGCCCTCTCCCAGTTCGCCCCCACTCCCCGCTTCCGTCCTCCTTCCCCGCGCCAGGGGGCGCAGCTCGGCGCAGGGCCCCACGGCGGACCTGCCGGGCAGGACCGTCCCGGGGACCCCCGCACCCCGGCACCCGCACTGTCCCTTGCCCGCCACGCGTCCGCGGACTTTGCTCCGCATCTCCTGCAGGACATCCCTCCGTGCGGGAGGGAGGCGGGACCCTCCCACCTCGAAGCGTCTCCGGGGACCACCGCCCCGCCGTGGGGGGGCCGCCCCCGGGCCCGCTTCGCACCCTGACCGGCTCCCCATCCAGGACTGCGCACCTGCGCCCTAGGGCGGAGTCCTTACCACAACCCAGGCTCCAGTGCTCACAGCCGAGCTCGGACGGGCCTCTTCCTCCTCCCCATCCCCGGACACCTGGTGGAGCCCGCGCTGAGAGCATCCTCCAGCCTCCATCTGTTCCCCCAGGAGGGTGGGGGCTCAGGCTGGAGCCAGAGTGGTAGATGGGCTAGAGTAGGCCTGGAGGCCGAGGGAGGCAGAGGCTTTGGGGAGAGAGGTGCGGCGGGGTGCACAGGGCGGTCAGCCTCAGAATGGAGGATGGGTTGTCCTGAGGGTGGGTAGCTGGGTCCTGGTGTCTAGCCCACATTCTACCAGGCCCTGACCAATCTGGAGGGAAGGGTGTAGGTTAAGATCAGTTGTCAGATCTGCCCTTCACCTTCGAAAAAATCAAATAGAGAAGTAACTCAGGGTGTGTCTTCTAAGGCCTAGCTCTCCACCCGGACTTAGATCTCCTGCCCTCCCCCCAGCATCCAGGCTCTCATTTGCCAAAGCATCCTCCAAGAACCGGATGCTCTGAGTCCCAGCCCCAGGACCTGACCTCACCGTAGCCCCAGACCCGCAAGAGCCCAACGCCAGCCCCGCCGGCCTTCTCCCCTCCCCCACCCTGCCGGTCTCTTCCTGATTACTCTGTTGTGTTGTGTCTCCAGCTCGTGTTGGTTCCTGGCACCATGTCTGGGTTCGCCCTCTCCTCCATTCCCTGGCTGTACTCTGACATCATAGTCCAGCCCCTTCCTCTCGCTTCCTCATCTTTCTTAGATATCACGACCCAGTTCTGTACCTGGTCTCCTACCTCATCCTCCTCATCCTGGATAGTGTGGAGGCTTCTGCCATGACCTTGTTCTCTCCCTTCCCAGCACAGACTCCCCCTCCCCCCGGCCCCTCAGGCCGGGGGTGACCTTGCCCCCTGGAGCCCTCACCATGAATACCAAGGACACCACCGAGGTTGCTGGTGAGTTCACAATCCAGGTTCCCAGTTTGGGCACAGCCTTTTTTCCTCCCCAAGTGGTGGTGACCTAATTCTTGGATCCCTGCTCTCCTTGTCATCATTTCATCCCACCCTCCCACCCTGCCCCGCCCCATGCTCTGGATTTGGCCCTTCTCCCCTGGGTTATCACAGGGATATCAGGAGCAGCGCCCTAAGTCCTCCCTTCTCATCCCCTCTAGAGAACAGCCACCACCTGAAGATCTTTCTACCCAAGAAGCTGCTGGAGTGTCTTCCTCGCTGTGCGCTGCTGCCTCCAGAGCGGCTCCGGTGGAATACAAATGAGGTTTTCTAGGGAGCCTGGGGGATTAGGGCGTAGCAGGGCCTGGTGGGCTGGAGGAGTGTGAATGGGGGTCTTGCTGTGCCTGTCGACATTCTCTAGGCTCTTTGAGGGTCATAGGAGAGGTATAAAGCCCTGCATCTTGTAGTAGCTCGCTTCTCCTTGGCATATCCACCTGTGTAAAGATACTATCTACCACTTACAAAGTATTTCCTACAAACCAAGCACTGTGCTCAGTACTTGTCCTGCATTATCTCATTCAGTCCTCCAAGGACGCTGTAGAGCAGACGCTGTTGTTATCCCCGAGGTATAGATGGGAAAGACCAAGAGACCAGCCTGAGACTTTGGAAAGGGGACACCCACCTGAGTGCCTCTTCTCCTGCAGGAGATTGCATCCTACTTGATCACCTTCGAGAAGCATGATGAGTGGCTATCCTGTGCACCCAAGACAAGGTGAGAACTTTTGTGAAGGTGGGGAGTGGCAGGGATCCTGGGTTCTGTACACAGAACTCGAGGCCAATCCTTCCCTTCTCAGGCCTCAGAATGGCTCTATTATCCTCTACAACCGCAAGAAGGTGAAATACCGGAAGGATGGTTACCTCTGGAAGAAGCGGAAGGACGGGAAGACCACCCGAGAGGACCACATGAAGCTGAAGGTCCAGGGCATGGAGGTAAGCGAGGCCTCCAGCTCACCTGCCCTGGTCCACCTTCTCCCCACTAGCTGGGTTCCAGCCCTGCCAGGGCTTGGTGACATTCTCTGTCTACCACCCTCCCAGTCACTCTTCCCTTCTCACTCACTTTGGATCCGCTAGGTGGTTGCTTAGCCTACTCTCTGCTTCCCATTTCCTTCCGTGACCCAATTCTCCAGGACTTAGGCCACACCTCCCTCTGGAGGACACAGATGCCCAATCCCCTTACTTCTCTTGCATTTCCCGCAGGGGTCCGAGTACTGACCCTCTAAGCACAGGTTTCTCTTCCCTCAAATCATTGCTCCTCATCTTGGATGCGTTGTTGCCATGCCCTCTGATTTTTGGATGGTCCCATATGGCAAATCTGGTCCTTGTTGTAAGGCCCTGGCCCCACTGTTCCCTCCTCTCCGTCCTGGGGTGACTTGGGGTACTGGGATTTGAAAGGTGTGGGGAATAGGTGGGGGTGGGTGAGGGTGAAAGAGGAACTGGTGGAAAGATTGGGATTCCTGCAAAGGGACTGAACAGAGGAAGAGTTGGGGAGCAGACTAGCCCTCCCCCCACCCCAGCCTGTCTCCTGGCAGTGTCTCTATGGCTGCTACGTTCACTCTTCCATCGTCCCCACATTCCATCGGCGCTGCTACTGGCTGCTCCAGGTGAGGATGGAAGAGCTCAGGGAGACAGAGTCTGCCTGGCTCTTTGAGGGAGGTGGGGGCCTGCAAGAATGAAGTGGAAGGATGACTAGGTTCTGAGTGGGAAAAGGAGACTGGGAAGAAGAGAAAGGGGTTTGGGGATGGAGAGAGCCAGAACTTGGGGGGTGAGGTTGGGGGTGCCTGGGAAGAAAGTGAGGACTAGGAGGCTGAACCCCTGGGCGGCAGGACCCCCCCCCATAGCACTCTGCATGTACCCTTGTGCTCTCAGAACCCTGACATCGTCCTTGTGCACTACCTGAACGTCCCAGCCCTGGAGGATTGTGGAAAGGGCTGCAGCCCCATCTTTTGTTCCATCAGCAGCGACCGTCGAGAGTGGCTCAAGTGGTCCCGGGAGGAGCTGTTGGGACAGCTGAAGCCCATGTGTAAGGCAGCAGGGCTAGGACAGCTCTCAATGGGGAAAGTGGACGTAGGGAGCTCCCAAAGGGGCCAGGGTTCTATACTCAGGAGTCTGTGGGGTGACCATTTCCCCCCAAGCCAGGAGGGGTCTTCCCTGGGTGGGTGGGTGGGTACCAGGGTCCCTGGTGTGATCTAAGGTGTTGGAATATGGAGGGCAGCTGTGAGCTATGGGAGCTGTCTTGAGGCTGCTGGCCTCTGTTCACCTGGCCAGAAGTCTTAGAGCATCTCAGGTGCTTGGAAGAGCCATCAGGATTCCCTGGTGACTATTTTATGGGGGTCCCATAGCACTTCCCGCCAACTCTCCTCTAGTTCATGGCATCAAGTGGAGCTGTGGGAACGGGACAGAGGAGTTCTCTGTAGAGCAGCTGGTGCAGCAGATCCTGGACACCCACCCGACCAAGCCTGCACCCCGAACTCACGCCTGTCTCTGCAGTGGAGGCCTTGGTTAGTGACCCCTGACCTTGGAACCCTCCTCCCTCCTAGTGTGCTGCCCTTACTCACACCAGGGGGATAGCTGGGATTTGCATGCTTATTTGCATGTCTTTTGCATGTTCCAGAAAGATGGGCCAGATGAGCAGAGGCCTTCCCATCTGCACACGGCCCAGTTCCTTTTACTTGATTCCTGGCAGCCCAGGCTCTCTATTTGCTTTCTTCATAAAGCAGCTCCTGGCCACCCCAGCACTACCACTTACACACAGGCTCAGCTTTATTCTTAGTTGGTACCCACTTGGTTCTGTTCTTTTGTCCTTTTTCTATGCCTTTACCTATTTCTCTCAGCTATTCCGCCAAGCCCTCTATCCTCTCCTGCAGTGCTCCTCCAGGGGGAGCGAGGGGGAGGAGAAATATTTCTGCCGCCTCCCAGTGGCCATAATCAGTATGACACCTCTGGTATTTAGTGACATCTCAGGAAATGCATGAAAGCTTTCCAGTAAGGGAAGGCTGGAGAAAGATGTGTCGTATCCCTTCTCTCCCCACCACCCCTTCCACTGCAGGTTCTGGGAGCCTTACCCACAAATGCAGCAGCACGAAACACCGCATCATCTCTCCCAAAGTGGAGCCCCGAGCTTTAACCCTGACCTCTGTCCCCCATCCCCATCCCCCTGAACCCCCTCCACTGATAGCCCCACTTCCCCCAGAGCTCCCCAAGGCACATACCTCCCCATCTTCTTCTTCCTCTTCCTCCTCTTCTTCCGGCTTTGCGGAACCCCTAGAGATCAGACCTAGCCCTCCCACCTCCCGAGGGAGTTCTTCGACAGGAGGCACCGCTATCCTCCTCCTGACGGGACTGGAGCAGCGAACTGGGGGCTTGACGCCCACCAGGCACTTGGCTTCCCAGGCCGATCCTAGGCCTTCCATGAGCTTGGCTGTAGTCGTAGGCTCTGAGCCCTCTGCCCCGCCAGCTCCTCCCAGCCCTGCCTTTGACCCGGATCGTTTTCTCAACAGCCCACAGAGGGGCCAGACGTATGGAGGAGGGCAGGGGGTAAGCCCAGACTTCCCTGAGACAGAGGCTGCCCATACCCCTTGTCCTGCCCTAGAGCCCGCTGCTGCCCTGGAGCCCCAGGCAGCTGCTCGGGGTCCCGCTCCACAGCCCAGAGCAGGCGGGAGAAGAGGAAACTGCTTCTTCATTCAAGATGATGACAGTGGGGAGGAGCGCAAGGCCCAGGGGGCTGCCCCACCTGTACCTTCACCCCCTCCTTCACCCACACCCTCACCTGCCCCCTTGGAGCCATCAGGCAGAGTAGGAAGAGGGGAGGCCTTGTTTGGAGGAGCTGGTGGGGCCAGTGAACTGGAGCCCTTCAGTCTTTCATCATTCCCTGAGCTCATGGGAGAACTCATCAGTGACGAAGCTCCGAGTGGCCCTGCCCCAGCCCCCCAGCTCTCTCCTGCTCTTAGCACCATCACAGACTTCTCCCCAGAGTGGTCCTACCCTGAGGTGAGTCTCAGGCTTCTCTCCTCCCTCCTGCATCCCTCTTACCCTGTGGTCTGTGACCTAGTTTCCCTCAGTTCCCACGGCTGCTTAGTTCTCTTCCCAACCTCATAGAGTGTAGCTCGTTTCCTGTTTTCATAGGCCCTCTGACTAACCCTTTCTCCCTCCCTCCTCCTTCTACCTGTGAATTGTGATTGTGTGAGTCCCTCAAGTGCCCCAGGGGACTTCATTCCTTGGTGACTGTTTCATGGGGGGTGGTGGGGCCGGGGAGGGACTGGGACAGCTCAGCCTGGAGAAGAGAAAATACAACTGGGATGTGATTGCAGACTTTGGGAAGCTGAAAGACTGTGGTCAGCAGTGGAGAAGTTCTGCTTTTTGCTGCTCCAGGGAGGGAAAGCAGGAACTACAGTGGGGGTCCAGAGGGGGCCTGAGAAAAGGACTTCCTTCCAGTGACAGCTATCTGCAAATGGGTTGGTAGCCTTGGGGGAGGCAATCAGTTCCCCATTTCTGGCAGATTCAGGTAGAGGACAGGAGTGTGGGGAGAAGGGACAGTGGGTTGAGTTCACTCTCCTGGGTCCTGTCCAATCCCTGTACCCCAGACCCAAGGGTGTACAGAGGACAGTAGATCCTCTCTCAGGGTCTGAATGAATGAATGAGTGACTGAGTGAAGGGACAATCAACAGAGAGAGCTCCAGTCACACTGCTCTCTGACTTCCGTCTGCAGGGTGGGGTCAAGGTGCTCATCACAGGACCTTGGACAGAGGCCGCCGAGCATTACTCCTGCGTCTTCGATCACATCGCAGTGCCAGCCTCACTTGTCCAGCCTGGTGTCTTACGCTGCTACTGTCCTGGTATGGGGACTGGGAATGGTAGGGGAAGGGACTAAGATAGGACAGTTAGGACTTCCAGGAAGACCTGGGAACAAATGTGTTGGGTTGTTCCTGAGAGTGGAAAGACCTCATCCAGTCCTGGGGCTGAGCCCTGTGGTCCACCAGCAGGCAGATGACTCTGAGCTTAGGTGTCAGAAGGTCTAGTTCTGGTCTAAGAAATCTACTTCTTAGCTGACTGGTGACCTTGGGTAAGTCTGTTTCTTTTTTAGGTCCTTGGCCTCCCCTCCTATAAGGTCAGGCATTTGACCCAAGGAGTCTCTAATGTCTGTCCAGGCCCTCTGGCTCCAGTCCAGGGAGTTCTTAGGAGAATGAGAAAGGAGAGATGTTGGTCTCCTCCAACCAGTCTTGGGACTGAAGGACATTGGCTTCTAGACCTGTGCTGTCCAATATGGTGGCCATTAGCCACATGTGCCTATTGAAATGAATTAAAATTAAATAAAATTTAAAATTCACTTCTTTTTTTTTTAATTAATTTTTTTTTCCTTTGGCTGTGTTGGGTCTTCATTGCTGTGCGCGGGCTTTCTCTAGTTGCGGTGAGAGGGGGCTACGCTTCGTTGTGGTGCGCGGGCTTCTCATTGTCATGGCTTTCTCTCGTTGTGGAGCACGGACTCTAGGTGCGCAGGCTTCAGTAGTTGTGGCACGTGGGCTCAGTAGTTGTGGCTTGCGGGCTGTAGACCTCAGGCTCGGTAGTTGTGGCGCACGGGCTTAGTTGCTCCGTGGCATGTGGGATGCCCTTCCCGGGCCAGGGCTCGAACCTGTCCCTTGCATTGGTAGGTAGATTTTTAACCACTGTGCCACCAGGGAAGCCCTAAAATTCACTTCTTCCATCACACTAACCATATTTTAGGTGCTCAGTGGCCACATGTGCTAGTGCTACCCTATTGGACAGTGCAGATGCAGAATGTTTCTATCACTGAGGAAAAGTTCTTTTGGACAGCCCCGGTCTAGATGTCATTGCCAAGGCTCATCTCTGCCCTTTTGCCACCAACTTTGCCCCTTACCCGGCACTCAGCAATGTTGCTGTGGGACCCTAAGGACCACTAGAGTGACAGGTTGACAGCTTTGCTGTCTATGAGTGTGTCCTCCCCCAGTCTCAACAGCCCTGTTTAATGGTGGATTGCAGGAGAGGGGCTGAGACCAGAGAAGCTAGGAATTGGGAGTCTCAGCTTCTGGTCTTGGGGCCAGGGCCTGGTGGTTTCATTCTCAAGGCTATAGACATTGAGACCCTGGGAAAGAGCTCTTATTAGGCCCTGTTGGTGAGCAGCTAATTCCTTTCCCGCATCTTAGTAACAGGGTTATGACCTCTGGACCTTGATCTTGGGGAATCAAGAGATTTCACCATCATCAAATTGTTTATAAGTATAGGTGTTTCTTGATCCTCTGCTTCTATACCTTGGTGCTGCACAACAACATCCTTAAGTACAGGGTCTAGAATCCAAGGGGTCTCTGGCCTATAGTAGGTATTAAGTTCTCAAATGAAAGGAATCCCTCCCCAGTTAGTGCCAAGGCCACTGAAGCCAGGAGCCTCTGGGACCCACAGCAGGGGGAGTAGGGGAGGTAGATGTGAAATGATCACCTGTGACCCTGACACAGGGGGTCAGAGAAAGAGCCCAGGAAAGATAGCCCCTTCGCTGATCCTTGCCCTCCCCAGCCCATGAGGTTGGGCTGGTGTCTTTGCAGGTGGCAGGGAGGGAGGGACCCCTTTCTGCTTCTGTGCTCTTTGAGTATCGAGCCCGCCGATTCCTGTCACTGCCTAGTACTCAGCTTGACTGGTTGTCACTGGACGGTGAGTACCCAGCCCTCTGACCCCACAACCTTTGAGCATGTCATGCTCCTAGACCCCTCAGGACTCAGGCAGCCACTGCCTTGCCCCTACTTACTGCTCTTCCCAGTTCCTGCTTCATTGGTCATTTCTGAATGAGGCAGCAAGCTTCCTTCATCTCCTCTTCCCTGTAAATCTTGGAGCCACCTTTGTCCCAGTGCTTGTCCTGTCCTCTGCATCTCAGAGGATGGGAGGGGCAGCGACAGGGTGTAGAGCAACATACATGGGATACACATGAGTGTATATATGTACCTAAACACGTATTTAAACTTTCTTACCATTTTTCCCTCTAATTATAAAGATAGGCGTTTATTATAGGAAATTTTGAAATTACAGAAAAGCACAAAGTAGAAAATGAAAATTGACTATAACATTGCTCAGTAACATACAGCACCTTTAATATATTTTTTTATACAGAGGTGCACATACATACACATGTATGTGTGTACGTGTGTGTATTTGTTTAAATTCAGAACTGTGTTTGTCCCTTTTACTGGTTATCCCTCCTGTGGCTTTCAGAATTGTTTCTCTCCACATCTGCTTCTTTCTCAAGGTTTGCTTTTCTCCGTCTCCTCCTGTCCCTATCTAATCTGTGCTTTACCGTCTCTCCTGTGGGTCTCCTGCCTCCCTCTTCTTTCCATTTCTCCTAGGACCCTTGTCTTCACTTCCCCTCTTCCTTATCGCCTGTTTGGTACGTCCCCCAGATCTCCTTTGTGCTTTCTCTCCTTTCCTTGTTTATCTTTTCCACACTCTCCTGTCACACCTGAGTCTCTGCTCATGCCTCTCCACCTCCTCCCCACTGTCCCCTCTCTACCTTCATGCCCTTCTGTCCTGGCATCTCAGAACATCCCCAGCCTGCACCGGTTTCTCTGTTTCCCCATGGCTCTGACCCTCTCCTGCCTCCCCTCCTTGTCCTTGTGTGATCTCAGGAGGGAACAGATATAGCTTGGGATGTGTGCATGTGCGTTTGTGCATGGGGTGGGGGAGGAGGAGGAGGAATGGATGTGACCATCCATCTCTGTTGCCTCCCCTCCCCGCCATCCTCTTTGTGGACAGCTGTGGGGGGCCAGGAGGAGGGGGCGGTGCTTTTCAAATCACAGTCTCTGAGCTCTTTGGGGCAGTGGTTAACAGAGAGGAGGGACCCTGGAGGCTTTGAGCCCCAGCCCACTACAGAGGTAGTGTCTGGAGCAAGAAGGGACAGAACCGTCACCTGGGAGAAGGCTGGGAACGTGTGTGTGTGTGTGCGTGTGTGTGTGTGTGTGTGTGTGTGTGTAAGAGAGAGATCTGGTGCAGCTAGGGCTGGATTCCCTATGGGGAGTCCTACTGTCTGTGTGTCTTGAAGGACACAGTCTTGGTTCTGGATTCAGGTCCTAGGTCGATGGATAGTATGAAGACCCCTAGTTTGAGGACTGGTCATGGGGGGCTGTATTCAGAAGGTGGGTGGGTAAAGGGCCGTTGTTTGGAGAGGAGGAAAGGATATGATTGTGTCTTCACCACCCAGACTCTGGAACAGGGTCCAGTTTTGGTGTCCAGGGCATCCCCTAGACTCTGCCCAATGAGCCCCCATGTCCACTCCCTCTCAGACAACCAGTTCCGGATGTCCATCCTGGAGCGACTGGAGCAGATGGAGAAGCGGATGGCAGAGATTGCAGCAGCTGGCCAGGCCCCCTACCGGGGTCCTGATGCCCCTCCGATTCAGGTACCTCCACGAGGAGGGCACTCGACGGTAGGGAGCAGGGGGAGGGTCTTCCTTAGAAATAGGCTCTAGTGTGTGACTCCCCTAGCTCTCCGGCCCCAGCCAGCCCTCCTCCCTGTCCCTGACGCCATCCTGCTCCCACCCCCGCCCCGCGGCAAGAGTGGCTATTCTGGGCACCCTCTTGGCATGACAGGCTTCAGACTATTTCTGGCCTGAAGGAGGGTGGAGGTGAGGGAGAGGGTGGGGGAGGGGATCCAGGGAGTTGGGGCTCAGTGCTCTGGGGGTCCCAGGTCTCGGAGGGAAGAAGGCTGGGAGGGGACTCTGAGTTCTGAGTGGAGGAAGTCATCTGTGGATATGGCACTGATCTGAGTCAGAGTGAAGGCACAACATGGGCAAGTGGGTGTGAGGTCTGGCCTGGAGGAAGCTGCCTGTGGGCGGGGGGGGGGGGACACCCAGGAACTTGAACTGGGAGGACTGATGGGCCATCAGAGATCCGAGTGGTGGGAACCTAGACTGGGACGTGTGGGGAGAGGGCAGAACTGGAAGCTGAGAGGACAGGCGTGGGGTGGCTAAGGCCATCCCAGGCTGGGGATGCTCACGTCTCTACCTAAGGGTGTGTGCACCACAGGATGAAGGCCAGGGACCCGGGTTCGAGGCACGGGTGGTAGTCCTGGTAGAGAGCATGATCCCACGCTCCACCTGGAGGGGTCCTGAACGTCTAGCCCATGGAAGCCCCTTCCGGGGCATGAGCCTTCTGCACCTGGCCGCTGCCCAGGGCTACGCCCGCCTCATCGAGACCCTGAGCCAGTGGCGGTGAGCCGGGGCCAGCGGGTGTACGGCGGGGGTGCCCAGGGACTGAGGAGGAACTGGAGCTCTGCCATGGGAGCTGGGGTCACTGTGGAAAGGAAGAGGGGCTGGAAGAGGGTTTGCACTTGGCGGAGTTTTAATGTCCCCTGACTTACAACGCTGACCTCTTGACCTCCTTACATTCATTAATCTCTTTGACTGCTTATCCCACTGACCTTAGTGCTTCCCAGTCCCTTCGATTCTGAAGTTCCTACCGGGCGCCCTTTCTCCCTGACTGGACCCTGTTGTCCCTTTCCCAAACCCTCCAGGAGTGTGGAGACCGGAAGCTTAGACTTAGAGCAAGAGGTTGACCCACTCAACGTGGACCATTTCTCTTGCACTCCTCTGGTGAGGATGCTGGGTTCCTGAGTGCACGTGGGCAATGGGAAACGGGAATGGTTCTTCAAAGGGAAGATCCTCTGAGGGATACAGGGGAGGAGTTAGGACGGGCCCCAGGCCTCACCTCCACCTCCACCCTCTTCTTCTCAGATGTGGGCTTGTGCCCTGGGCCACCTGGAGGCTGCCGTGCTCCTTTTCCGTTGGAACAGACAGGCACTGAGCATTCCCGACTCTCTGGGCCGCCTGCCCCTGTCCGTGGCTCATTCCCGGGGTCACGTGCGCCTCGCCCGCTGCCTTGAGGAACTGCAGAGACAGGAAGCTTCAGCTGAGCCCCCGTTTGCCCTGTCGCCGCCCTCCTCCAGCCCAGACACTGGTGAGGGTTTAAGAGGGGACTGCGGGTGGGAGGACACGCCAGGGGAAAGCCAGAGGGTGGGAGACAGAGTGCGAGAGGAGGCAGCGGGGATGGGGAGGTAAGAGCAGCAAGGGGGCAGGTGGCGCCTTCTGCCCTCACCCCCTTCCCTCACCTCGCAGGTCTGAGCAGCGTCTCCTCGCCTTCGGAGCTATCGGATGGCACTTTCTCCGTCACATCAGCCTATTCTAGTGCCCCGGATGGGAGTCCTCCCCCTGCTCCTCTGCCAACCTCTGAGATTACTATGGAGATGGTCCCAGGCCAGCTCTCCTCTGGTGCTCCAGAGGCCCCCCTACTCCTCATGGACTATGAAGCCACCAACCCCAAAGGGCCCCCACCCTCACCGCCTCCTCTCCCACCGGCCCCAGATGGTAGGGCTGCTCCAGCGGAAACTGACAGCCCACCAGCTGTGGACGTGATCCCGGTACCGCTTATGTCGATGGAATTATGAGGGCTCGAAGTAGTGTGGGGCACGGGGTGGGGTGATGCCGACCATTCCATAAAACAGAATCAGTCTGGCTGCAGTTTGGGAAGAAGGGGCCATTTACTCTCATTTAGGGACAAGCAAGTTTATTCTCTGCTTAGCTCCTGTCAGAGCTTGTGACTCAGAAGTCATGAGGCATCAGGGGTTAAAAATTCTGGGGAATATCTTCAGTTAGAGCCAGGTTGTAGGGGTTACTTGTTGATCCACGAAGGGACAAGGTTCTTGGGGAATGAGAGCAATGGCAGGAAGTTGGGAGGAGTGAGGAGCAGAGAGGTTGGCAAGGTGGAAGCATCTGGCAATGACCTGGGGCAAGGGGGCGGGGTGGTGGGAGGCTTGCACAGGGTAAGAGCTAAGAGAGTCTTGTGGAATGAATGAACACATGAGAGAGTGGATCTTCAAGTGCAGCAGCGTACTCCTCCGCTAGGACTGGGGACATATCTGCTTTAGAGAGGCTAATGGATTAACTGGGTAGCACTGGAGTACAAAAAATGTGGACAGCTCCACAAGGTAGGCTGCTTTACGTGTGGCCAGCAGGAAGTGCTGCAGGCTTCAGGCCTGGAGCAAAGGCAAGGCTGGAGCCATTCAATAAGGTGTCGTGTGATTGGCAGGCTCTGAGCTGATTCTTGGAGAGTGGGATGGGGTGGCGGGCATGGCCAGGTCTGTGGGAGCTGGCATGGGGCAGGCCGGGTGGGACAGTGGGCAGCCAGCCTGGAAGGGTAAGCCCTTCATTTGCCCAGCTCCTGAATCCCCATGTGGTATATGTCCTTCCTAGCCCATGTTTCCCATGCCTCAACAAAGAGGGCTGTACTCCTGAGTGGGACCTCAAGAAGTGTAAATGAATCTGGAACACTGGCGGAGAAAGACAGGGTTAGCAGGGACAGCCGTCCCTGAGGCCTCATCGTCTGGTGCTGAGAGGAGGAACAAGATAGGAAGTGGACTGACGCTACGGCCTTGGCCGGAACAGGCCGGAACAGCTGGTAGTCAGGGCTCCTCAAGGCTCACCCAGCTTCTCCTCCATCCAGGTGGACATGATCTCACTGGCCAAGCAGATCATCGAAGCCACACCAGAGCGGATTAAACGGGAGGACTTTGTCGGGCTGCCTGAGGCCGGAGCCCCCATGCGGGAGCGGACAGGGGCCGTGGGGCTCAGCGAGACCATGTCCTGGTTGGCCAGCTACCTGGAGAATGTGGACCATTTCCCCAGCTCAGCCCCTCCCAGGTGACCAGCTCAGGACAAAGCCTCCAGATCCTTCTTCAGAGGAACATGGGAGGGAGGGAGGAAACTTCCTCATGGCCAGAGCTCCATCCTGGCTCAGGCCCCAGGGCCTTTGAAAAGGGGATTGGCACTGGCTGCTGAGTTCTGAAGTCACTCTGCAGGCTCTGTTGCTGGGGCTGTGCCTTCACAGCAGTCTCCAGGTGGGAGAAGAGAGACTGCAGATGCCCCATGGCCTCCCTTCTCCCTGTCCCTGCAGCGAACTGCCCTTTGAGCGGGGTCGCCTGGCTATCCCTCCGGCACCTTCCTGGGCAGAGTTTCTCTCTGCGTCCGCCAGTGGCAAGATGGAGAGTGATTTTGCCCTGCTGACCCTATCGGATCATGAGCAGCGGGAACTGTACGAGGCAGCCCGAGTCATCCAGACAGCCTTCCGAAAGTACAAGGTCAGGGGGCTGGGTGTTTCAGGGGATGAATTACACAATCTTGAGTGGGGAGATTACAGGTTCCCAGGACTTTAGGAGGGACGACAGTCATCCACACAGGCCTGGGATGGGGTGAAGGGTCGGGGACCCCAGGCAAGTCGGAAGGTTAGGTCACACGTCTGTTAGGTGGGCAGCTAAGTGCTGAGACCTCCTTCTCTCCCCTTAGGGCCGGCGGCTGAAGGAGCAGCAGGAGGTAGCAGCAGCTGTGATCCAGCGCTGTTACCGGAAGTACAAGCAGGTGAGACCGTCCTCTCTTGAAAGCATACCCACCAACCCACACCCACACACACCCATTCCAGCCCAGAGCATCCAGAATGCTGCTGGAGCCCTAACTCCCCTTCTCTCTCCACAAGCTGACCTGGATTGCACTTAAGGTATTAGGCGTGGGACCTGGGTGTGAGGTTGTCTGTGATGATTCAGCCTTTCCATGAGTGTGTGGATTAGAGAAATAGAGTTGCATCAACTGAACTTGGGGGTGACCCTCAGGGGTTTGGGTCTCTGTCCATTTCAGCCCCTGCCCCTCCTCCCCACTCCTGCAGTTTGCACTCTATAAGAAGATGACCCAGGCGGCCATCCTGATCCAGAGCAAGTTCCGAAGCTACTATGAACAGAAGCGGTTTCAGCAGAGCCGCAGGGCGGCGGTGCTCATCCAGCAGCACTACCGTTCCTACCGCCGCCGGCCCGGGCCTCCCCACCGGCCCACGGGCACCCTGCCTGCCCGCAACAAGTATGGCGTTAGCCCTCTGGCCCTTCGGCCCTCTCTGCCCACCCACTGTGTCCATGCCCACTGTCCGTGGACTCCCGACTCATCAGCCTGCCCCCCTGCCTTTCCTTGCCAGGGTCCCTAAGGGGCGGAGGGCAGAGGATGCCTGAGTGTCCTGTGAGGTCTCATCTTTTCTTTCTTCCACCAGAGGCTCCTTTCTCACCAAGAAGCAGGACCAGGCAGCCCGGAAGATCATGAGATTCCTGCGGCGCTGCCGGCACAGGTGCTGTCCTTTCCCTCACTGGATTTGGGCCTGCCACCTCCCCCACCCGACCTCCCCGATCTGCGGGTCTCCTCTGACTCCTTCCTTGTTTCTCCGCAGGATGAGGGAATTGAAGCAGAACCAGGAGCTGGAAGGGCTTCCCCAGCCCGGACTGGCCACCTGACCTCTCCACTGCCTTTCTCATCACCCTGGGGGCCGCTTCTTGCAGTCTTAACAGGGACAGGGCTCTCTGGGGGAGGGGGAGCCCCCTGTCGGCAGCTTTCCCGTCACTTCTCTTGGAGCCCGTCCTCGGTCTCCACCCCCTCCCCCTCCGAAGTGCTGAACTCCCTTTCCCACCCCCGGCTCCTTCTCCTCTTCCCTCCGGGTCGTGCCCCTCCTCTTTTAGTCCCTGGCTCCAGAAGACCCACGCCCCACATACCTGCATCTTCAGCTGTGACCTCCGGAGCCCTGCCTGCCCCTTCTCCACAGCTCCCTCCCTGCCTGTACCCACCTCGGCCCCTTCCTGACTTGCCTTATTTATTTGTTCGATGCGTCTCTGAATGTATCCGCCTCGGTCCCACCTCTGCCTTCGCTACGCGCACGCCCCTCGTGTTTCAGGGCTGACCGTGCCCCCACCCCGACTCCGCATGTCTGCGTCTGTTTCCTCCCTTTCTGGCCCCGTCTTCCCCAGTCACCCCGACCGACTCTGGCCACCAACCTCCGGGCCAAAGGGGGGTGTATATAGGAACGCGTTGCGGAGTCCCGCCCCGTCCCCGAGGGGAGGGGGCTTGTACATAATGTAACATACAGAGTATAGTGAAGAATCTATTTAAGGCGCCGCAGGGAGGCCTGCACGGCCGGGCTTGTGGCTCCAGGCGCGGCGGGGGCCTCCTGCCGGCTCCACAAGCACTTTCTACTTGTGCATGGGCTTGGTTTCTACGAATTGCCATTAAACATCGCTGCACCAGCCAGCCTCCGGCCTCTGTCTGCGGGGGGCGGGGCCTCGGCCGGCGGGAGGCTGCGGGCGCGCTGGGCAGGGATCTAAGCCGCGCCGGGGCGGGTGCGTGGTTTACCGCCTCCGACGTGTTTCCGGCCTTAAAGGCATTTTGCCCTTCCCTTTAAGACGCGCCGCCCCCCTCTCAGTCACTCCCAAGATGGCGGACCTACTGGGCTCCATCCTGAGCTCCATGGAGAAGCCACCCAGCCTCGGTGACCAGGAGACTCGGCGCAAGGCCCGAGGTGAGGATCCCAAATTCACAACCGGCTTTCTTCGCCCGGTTCTCAGGACCGCACTCCTACCCCTTTGGACGACCCCGCCTTCTCAACCTTGAAAGACCCCTCACGGGCTCCTTCAGAGACCCCCCGAGTCCCTAAAAGGGGTGCCATCCCGCCCGCTGTTCTTAGCGGACGATGATTGGCTACCTGAAGCCCAGCGCCAGGCCCCTGGCTCTTTCTACCTTGGCCGTCCGCAGTCCTTGTTTTCAATTCGCCGATGGGCCCGCCTGTCCGCCGGTGGCGTGCTCTGATTGGTAGGCTGCCTTCAACCCCACCCAACCCCTTGGTTTTCCTCGGCCCGCCTTCGGATGGGGGGGGCGAGTTCGACCGCTCGGCCCCGCCCACCTCCCGGCGCTCGAGTCCCTGAGCCTCGTCCCCTTCCGATTGGATTCAGGACACGCCCATCCGCAGTCCTTTCTCCCCTATTGGCCACCTCAACTTAAAGGTCTACCTATTAAGTTTTGATCGACCTTCCTCTTAGCCCACCCTACCCTCAGCACCTCTAACTGGCTGCTGGGTGCTTTCGGCGCTCTTATGCCCCGCCTACTTGGGGCCGCCCTCCAACCTTTCTCTCATCTGTACCCTTAAATTCCCGAGCTCCCCGGGCGGGTCGTGAATGTTGATTGGAGGGATGAGAATGCCCCTACCCGGTCCGATTGGCCATGGTTTCCCCGCCTGTGTTCTCCGAGTAACTTCCCAGCAGGAGGCTCAAGTTGGGCTGCAAGCTTAGGGCGCGGCCCGCCGGGCGGTATAGGCCTCTCTTGCTCGCTTTGCGGAGTGTGAATGAGTCTGACAGAATGACTGACTACCTTGCGGAGGACACCGGCTCCCCACCCGTCCGAGGGAGGCCAGGGCAGCCTGGGTGCCTTCAGAGGGCTCAAGTGCTGCTTAATATCGAACTAACATCCATATTTACTGAATGGTTGCTAGGGGCCAGGGTACCCTCAAGGAGCCCACAGTCTGGAGTATCGATGAAATGCGCATTGATGAAACGATCACACAGGAGTTTAATAACCAACTTTATAAGTGCTCTGAAAGAAAAATAACTGTTATGAGAGGGGCTACCTAGGGGTCCTAACCTAGTCTGCAGTGAGCTGAGATGTGAAGAATAGGTAAGTCAGTAAGTGAGAGGGGAGCACAGTGCTCCAGGCAGAGATTTGAAAGCTCTGAGGAAGGAGGGAGCATAATGGGACCTGGGAACTGGAATTATTTAACACCATGACTGACGAGGTGGGTTCACCAGCGGCCGTTGACAGACTAGGAAGCTGAAGTTCAGAGTTTAGTCAGTTGCCTGCCGTTACACTTTTACTAAGTGGTGGGGTTTCAAACCCATGTGTGACTTTTAAGTCTATGTTCTTAACCATAATCTTACGCCACCTCCTCAGATGCAGAGAGATGACTCATAAGCCAGTTCGAGAACAGTCAGTGACCAATATAGGGTGTGCTGATGGTCAGAGTCCTTGAGGTGGGAGAGAGGGGAGCTCCTGAGCTGTCGGGGCCCTGGGGCCACAGAGAGTAACTGGAAGGAGATGAACAGGGTCTGTAGCTTCTGGGAGCTCACAGTGGGGTAGGGAGGACAAGAGTTACACTCTGTTAGCTCTCAGCACATGCTGTAGTGGGTGTCAGAACCGAATGTGCTTGGGCCCCAGAGGAGGAAGTGAGTAACTGACTCATGGTGGATCTCAAAGTTTGCAAGAGGAGGAAGAGCATTTCAAGCAGTAGGAACAACATGTGCAAAGACATGAAGTAATTAAGAAAATGGGAAGAGGTTCAGTGCAGCTGAAGGAATTCCAATCCTGTGGAAGAAGTGGGTCTTAAGGATATAAAGAATTTGAAATGGCGGAAGAGAGAAGAGGGGACAGTGAGACCCAAGGGTAGGGAGTTCCCTTTACAGCTCACCTCAGACACCTACACTCACAAAGGAGAAGAGTGTCAGACTGGCCATTTCAGCTTCATCTTGGCTGTAGAAGTAAAAAGTGGGGGTACGTGAGCCATGGCCGCTGGGCCTGCGCGTCCGGAACCTGTGCTCCGCAGCAGGAGAGGCCACAACAGTGAGAGGCCCGTGTACCGCAAAGAAAAAAAAAAAAAGTGGGGGTGTTACACAATATAGGAAGTTAAATAATTTCCCCTTCCCTATGCAGACAATGATATGATAAGCTCCTTGAGGCCAGGGCTCGGTTTTTTCTCGTTACCACCCCAAGTGCTTTATAGTTCTTGGTGTGTCGCAGGCATTAAATAAATGTTTGTTAGTTGGTTTCCCCAGTGGGTTGGGAAATGGGGTTGAGCATGATTCTAATCTTTGTTACTCCCACTAAACTGTGAGCTCCTAAAGGGCAAAGCTATGTCTTAATCCTCTTTGTACTCCAGGTCCTAGCACAGTGCCAGGTATAGAGGAACTATCAATAAATGCTTGGCAAATAAACAGTAATCCTACCTTCCTAGCCTGACACCCTCCCAGTGGACATGAGATCCCTTTTGAAGCCCTACAAACTCTCCCCACCCATGCTTCCACCCCTGGCCTCATGCTGCCATTTCTCACCCCCAGAGCAGGCAGCCCGCCTGAAGAAACTACAGGAGCAAGAGAAACAGCAGAAAGTGGAGTTTCGTAAAAGGGTGAGAACAACTGGAGAGATCAAAGGCAGCCTCAGAAAGGACTTCCAATAAGTTAGAATTGGAAGGTTGAAGAGTCAGTGTGTTTGGAAACTGTCTTGAGAGAGGTGAAACCCAGAAGCCAGTGGCACAGCGGCTGGGAAAGGCGTGGGAGGCCAAGGCCTGTTGGCCTGGCGGGGGAGAGGGATATTTGGGTGGGGCCATCATCTCATACCTTCTTCACTTTTCCCTTTACCAAGATGGAGAAAGAGGTGTCAGATTTCATCCAAGACAGTGGGCAGATCAAGAAAAAGTTTCAGCCGATGAACAAGATAGAGAGGAGCATACTGTGAGTGTCTCTGGGCTGGGGAGGCAAGAAATGGGTGACCAAGGAGGCATGAAAGGGCCAGACAGGAGAACCCTCCAGAGGAGGACGCTGGGCCCCCTTGTGGCTCTACATAGTCTTTCCCCTTCGCTCCCCCCTTCCCAGACACGATGTGGTGGAAGTGGCTGGCCTGACATCCTTCTCGTTTGGGGAAGATGACGAATGTCGCTATGTCATGATCTTCAAAAAGGTAAAAGGGGGACCTCCCTGGTGATCCAGTGGTTAGGACTCTGAGCTTCCACTGCAGGGGGCACGGGTTCGACCCTGGTCGGGGAACTAAGATCCTGCATGCCGTGCCGCACTGCCCCCCAAAAAAGGTAAAAGGCCTGAGTTCCCCGCTGTCTCCTCTCTCCTTTTCAGCCTGTGCCCCACGCTGGGGGAGAGGAATGAGATAAAACATGTATGTGGAACCTTGACCCCATCATCTCCTTCTTTCCCAGGAGTTTGCACCCTCCGATGAAGAGCTGGACTCCTACCGTCGTGGCGAGGAGTGGGACCCCCAGAAGGCTGAGGAGAAACGGAGGCTGAAGGTGAGTTATGCCTGGCAGTCCCTGGGGCCCTGCAGCCCCCCAGCTGGGAGGGGTTGGGGTCAGGCCCTGAGCTCTGGTGCCCCACCTTGGCACCCCTAGGAGCTGGCCCAGCGGCAGGAGGAGGAGGCAGCCCGGCAGGGACCTGTGGTGGTGAGCCCTGCCAGCGACTACAAGGACAAGTACAGCCACCTCATTGGGAAGGGGGCAGCCAAGGATGCGGCCCACATGCTGCAGGCCAACAAGACCTACGGCTGTGGTGAGGCCGCAGTGGGGGCTGGGAGGGCAGGGCAGAGGAGCACTGGATGGGGGGAGGGGAGGGAGGCTGAGGCACAGGGCTCCTAGGCCCTCCCACCCTCCCCTCTGCCCCCAGTGCCTGTGGCCAACAAGAGGGACACACGCTCCATTGAAGAGGCCATGAATGAGATCCGGGCCAAGAAGCGTCTGCGGCAGAGCGGGGAAGAGTTGCCACCTACCTCCTAGACACCCCAGCTCCCTGGGGCAGGGCAGAGGGCAGGGAGGGACGAGGCTGCTGCTATTAGAACCCATCCTGGAGCCCCACCTCTGAAGCACCTCCTAACAGCTGTCACTCAGGCTGGGGGAAGCAGGTGTTTGATTTGTCACTGTTGGAGCTTGGATGTGTGTGCGTGTGTGCGTGTGTGTGTGTGTGAATGTACAGGTGGGTATTTAATCTGTATTATTCTCTGTTCTCCCTGGAATTTTCTTCCCCATGGGGCTGGGGTTACTTTACATTCAGTAAACACTGTTTGACCCAATGTCTTGGTTTGTTTGAACAGAGAAAGGTGGGTTCTAGAGAGGAAGAGAAACAATTATAGATTGAACAGTGTAAGATTGTTTTTGTAGGCCAAAGATGGCGAAATATTGGCACTTTTGTAGAAATTTATGAGATAGTATTTTAAGAGCACAGTCACTACAGCCAAATGGCCTAGGTTTGGATCCTGGCTCTGCCACTTACTGTTACCTTGGTTAAAGTATTTTACCTTTTCGTGCCTCAGTTTCCTCACCAGTAAAATGGGGATAATAATGGTAACTATCTGATAGGACTGTTTCAAAGATTACATAGGCCGGTATATGTCAAATATTTAGAATAGTTTCACATCCTCCAAGCTCCATGGAAATGGTAGCTGCTCTGGTTACACTCTCATCCTCACCAAGCTCTTCGATTTCATAAGGATGAGCACTCAGACTTAACACTGCAGTGGCCTCTGCAGACTGTGCACTTCAACTTATGGGCAGGTCTGATCCAGCTTCCCCCTCATGGTGATGTCAGGCCTTGGCCCCCCACCCTGCTCCCCTTCTCTGGAGCTGGTTCAGTGTTCTGTCAGTTCCTCTTCAGCTGCATTTCACATAATACACCTGCTTCCCCCCCTCCTTCCATATTGTGAGCTTTGTGGTTCTAGATCCAGCCCAACTTTCTCTCTGGCCAGTCCCTCACTTCCTCCTTGTCCCAGCAGGTTCCATGTCCGTTTTCCCTTCCTGCCCCTACTTCTTCACCTCCTGCCTCATCCAGCCCAGAGACCAGCGTCTCCTCCCTCCCTCCCACAAACGAGCAGGCCACTGCCTTGGTTGGCACCAGTGTTTATTTCAGGAGGAAGGGCTTGAAGGCCTAGATCTGTCCCGTGGAACCCTGGGGCCTCCAGCTTCTCACTTGGCCTTTGGGTTACGGAACTTGTGTCCAGCAAAAACAGCCTTGTCCCCGAGAGCCTCCTCAATCCTGGAAAGCAGACAAAGTCAGGGCTGTGATATTCCAACCCAAGAGCCCTCAGCTCCTTACACCCAGACCTACTGCACCCACTGTACCTCATGAGCTGATTGTATTTGGCCAGACGCTCTGAGCGGCAGGGGGCACCAGTCTTGATCTGAAGAGGGAAGAGGAATTCCAGGAGTTGCATGAGACCAGGGACGAGGGATTGGGCCTGGCCCTGAGGGAGCAGCCTGTGGTGGCATGCAACTCCAGGGCAGGAGGCCAGGGATCCCAAGAAAACCCAGTCAGTCGGCAGAGGGGGGGCCACGAGTACCTGTCCTGTGCAGAGCCCAACCACGAGGTCAGCGATGAACGTGTCCTCGGTTTCCCCAGAGCGGTGGCTCACCATCACCCCCCAGCCGTTAGACTGAGCCAGTTTGCAGCTAGGTGGAGAGGACACTCAATAAGGTCCGGTGGGACCTCCTCAGTGGGAAAGCCAGGCGCTAGGTGGGGCTTTTCCTTTCTGTTTTGGGGAGTGGGAGATTTGAGGGGAGGGTGATGACTAAGTTCTTTGGGAAGCAGGAGAGAAGGGGAGATTCTTGATCTTGAATTTGGGCTCCTGAATGCTGGTGGGAAGAAGCAGAATCTGGGAGACAGGGATGGCATAGGGTCGGGGTGGGGATGAGGCATGGCAAGGCAACAATGGCAAAGCTCTTGGGGTGAGGTCAAGAGTTAAAGCCTTGAGGTCGAAAGGGTGGGGTGGGTCAGGAGCCAAGGGGAAGTCAGACTTGGAGTTAGTGGGCAATACTGTAGCTGGACTGGGTATGGGTGGAGGGATGCCATGATGCCCCAGGGCCAGAGGCACTCACGCCTGGATGGATTCGGTCACTGAGCCGATCTGGTTGACCTTCAGCAGCAGGCAGTTGCAGGCCTTCTTCTCAATGGCCTGGCTAATCCTCTTGGGGTTGGTGACTGTGAGGTCATCCCCCACGATCTGGATGTTGACCCCCGAGAGGAATGAGGTCCAGGTAGCCCAGTCATCCTGGTCAAAAGGGTCCTCGATGGAGACCACTGGTGGGAAAGGGGAGCAGATTCAGGTTAAAGGTCAGAAGGGCCTCACAGGGGAGTGACAGGTCAGAAGAGTGGGTGGAGATTGCAATGGCGCTAAGGATCGGAAAGACTGAGTTGGTGGCAGTGGAGATGCCGAAGCCAGTGTGTAGGGCAGCTGCTGGAGACTCAAGCAGGAGCGATGGAACACCCAGGGTCTCACCAGGATAGTTCTTGATGAAGCTTTTATACAGCTCCCCCAGCTTCTCCCCAGTGATGTGCCGTGCGGGGTCATCAGGTGACTTGAAGTCAAGATCATACTTTCCGTGGCGATAGAACTCAGACGCTGCCACATCCATGCCAATCACCACCTTGTCGGGGTAACCAGCCGCCTGGATGGCGGTCTTCAGCAGCTCCAGGGCTGGGGGAGGGAAAGAGAGGACCTGAGGCTCCGGTGCACCCCGTCTCCATGGGGACCCAGGGGTTCTGCACCTCCGAGTGCTCACACTGACCTTCATTGTTCTCCAGGATGTTGGGTGCAAAGCCGCCCTCATCACCCACATTGGTGGCGTCCTTCCCATACTTGGCCTTGATGACCCCCTTGAGGTGGTGGTAGACCTCGGCACCGATGCGCATGGCTTCCCTGAAGGATCGGGCTCCCACGGGCAGGATCATGAACTCCTGCATGGCCAGCTTGTTTCCAGCATGGGAGCCCCCGTTGATCACATTGAAGGCCTGAGATGGGGAGAGGGTGCTTAGACCTGGGCATCGATGTGGAATCTTGGATCCCCTACTTACTGAATGGTCTAGGATGAATAATTTTACTCCTCAGAGACTCCTTCCTCATTTCCATAACATGGGGACACCACCTGCTTACCTGCAGGATCTTATGTGTTAAATTAGAGCAACTGGATGTAAAGTTCTTCGCCTGTGCCTGGTGTGGCAGCTAACGCTGATATGGCATATGGCACTTATTACAGGCCAGGCACTGCTCTAAGTGCTTTACGTATATTTTATTGGCTCATTTCATTCTCAAAACTACTCTGTAACTAGGTACAATTTATTATCCCTCACTTTACAGCCAAGGAAACTGAGGCACAGAGAGATTAAATAAACTTGCCTAAAATCACACAACTAGTAAAGGGACAAAACCAGCATTCGAACCCAGCAGCTTGTCTCCAGAGCTCAGGCTCTTATACAATCTAGCCAGTAAGTAACAATAAATGGTAACATTATTATTGCAATGAAATTCAAAGGATTTCCATAAACAGCAAATTTGGTTTGATAAGTATTAAAGAAGATACAAAAATAAAATGCCAAGATCTTTGCCATGAAGAAGCTCTCGATCTGATTTGGGGTTGGGGCACAGGGCAGAATGAGAAATTGGAGTTACTGAGCCTGGGATTGGAATGTGAAGGAACCCGGTTACATCAAGGGAAAGAGGCAGAGAGAGGTTAAAGGGAAGGTTTGGATTGTGGGAAAGGGGGAGGGCTGGACCGCAGCAGGAGAGGTTCCATTTCAGAAAACCATTTCTTTGGAGCTGGGTCTGAAAGGTGGACTTTCCACGGGCTGCTTATGCCCTCCCTGCTGGGTGGGGTCACCGTGGGATGCGGCGGGGCAGCTGCACTCACAGGGACCGGGAGGATCAGGTCTGGGTTCCCGGCGAGATCTGCAATGTGTCGGTAGAGTGGGACCCCCTTCTCAGCTGCTCCGGCCTTGCACACGGCCAGGGACACACCCAGGATGGCATTGGCCCCAAACTTGGCTGGAGGAAGCAAGTACAAAGAAAGTGTGAGAGCGCCTCACACAGGGTTTAGGGTCAGCTCCTAGAACATCCCTTCTGGTCACCCCAGAAAGAATCCAGAACTCCAAACCACTGGGCACTGAGTTTGTTAACAGATCTCTCCCCAACAGCCTGAGGTGCTCTGGGAACACCCAGCCCAGGGGAATGTGTCGGCTTCACGGCTGTGTCCACAGCCTGGCCCAAGCCTCGCACAGGGCAGGCATCAGGAAATGCCTGTGCGATGAATACAAATCCAGCCAGCTACAGTGTGCCCCAAAATGCGAGACACAGAAATAATCCTAACCAGACCTCCGTCCGCGGTCTCTCCCCCGCCCCTCCCACAGCCCAGCCCAGCCCCTGTCCCTAGCCCTTCACTCACACTTATTCTCTGTCCCATCCAGCTCAATCATAAATTTGTCAACTTTTTCTTGATCCACCACGCTTAGTTTCTGGAAGGGCAGGTTTGAGGAGGGGAGAACAGAGGTTATATTTCTCAGGAGTCAGGGCATGTGCTGGAGGAAAGAGAAGTGCAGGTATTTGGGGCAGATGGGATGGTTGGCCAAGCCTGAGCTGCTTGGGACTAGGTAGCAGGTGAGGGGGAGAGAGGGTCCTCCACTTGCCTTTTCCAGCAGTGCGGGGCCTAGAGTCTTATTGATGTGTTCCACGGCCTTCAGGACCCCTAGAGGCCGAAGCAGGGGGTTCAGATCTTCTATTCAATTAGGTCTCTTCCCGTGGCCCCCAGCTCCTCAAGAGCTTTGGGTTCCCGTCCTCTACCCTGTGCAGACATCGCATACCACGTCCTGAAACCACCCCCTTGGTCTTTCCTCACCTTTCCCCAGGTAGCGAGATTTGTCTCCATCTCTTAGTTCCAGAGCTTCATAGATACCTGTGGAAGCTCCACTGGGCACAGCTGCTCGGAATCGGCCTGAGGTGGGAGGAATTGGAAGATCACAGAGAGTCAGTCCCATTCACCCCCGCAAAGGACAGATTGTCTCCTCTCTGAGCCCAGGGACAGGAGGCAGTGTAGAGAGACTCGTGCTGCTCCCTGCTGGGGAGCAGGCTGGGAGAGGGGATCCCAGAGAAAGGAGTGGATGTGGCATAGAGTTGGGGGGCAAAGGCAGATGGAGTTGGGGTCTTCCCAGGTAAACCCATTCAATGGGCCTGTGTTACCCTTGGCCGTGTGCAGGTCCACCTCCACTGTGGGGTTGCCCCTGGAGTCCAGGATTTCTCGGGCAAAGATT